ATTGCTCGTAGATTGCCGTCAATGACTGCAGGGCCGCGCGCCTCTCCTCAACGACATCCTCATCGACCGACAACGACTGCCCGTGGACTCCTTTGCGACCCATACGCCAACGAGAGAGCAGTTTACACACCCATCCTTGCGAGAACACCAAGTTCACACTTTCGTCGTACGTACAGCTCACTGTGGCTGCGAACTCCTTGATGGCGCGATAAGTGACGTTAACGCCGTAGGTTTCACATTCTTTGAGCCACTCGACAATGTCTGCCTCGAGCCGCAGCGAACAGGCTTGCGCGATTTGAGCTTCGGCCGGGTGGTTAGCAAGTTTATATCGAGTCCACGACGGACGGCGCGAGACATTGCTGATGTCGATGGCTGCGATGGAAGCCGCAGTGTTCGGTATGCCCACGAACACAACGTATCAAGTGTCATGTCGGGGTTCGCCTTTGCGTGCTTTACGACGTGAGCTTTTTGTCATGAAGAACTTCCTTACAGCTCTCTTGGGTTCGTCGTTGTGCATGGCGAATAATTTCCAAATGAATTGACGACATTAGTCCAGCTCCCCTCATTTTGAAATTGAATTTTGAATCGTTCGTGCGCGCTTCCTTCGCATGTCCGACACTCGCCGCTCCATTGCTCGTGTGTCTTGGAGGATTCTTTCATTTTCGATATCGTTTACATATATACTTTGATAGGTATTAGTTTTCATCAGTTGCCTTCATGGGAGTCTTGACTGTACAGTACTAGTACATTTTCTGTGTACTCTTCAAATACTTCTGGTGTTCGGAGAATTGGACAAATGGTTGTTGATTGCTGTTGAAGCAAAAAAGGAGTCGTGAGAAAAAGGTTTTTTCGAATCGCGACGACGAAAAAGCATCTATACAACGTTCCACGATTTGGATCCAAGATGCGCAAGGCGGCCCTTGTGGGGTGGTTCGTGCTCTCATGTAGCGCATTGACGATAGAAGAGCTGGCGCCTTATTCGCAATTCCAAGAAGATCTCCTCCTTCGGAACGTCCATCCATTCGGTATAGTTTTTGCCGACCCCGACGCTGTTCCAGAACAAGGCACAAGTCCGGATGGAGCATTTTGTGCCACAGGCGAGTTCGGTGCGCTGGAGTACTGGGAACGCGTGCGACAGGATGGCCACGTGTTCTTTTACTGCAAGGCTAGACACACAAGCCAGTGGCAACCGCCTTGCATCCACTTGATGCCGGACTTTGACTTGGACGCGGATGACCCACGCCGGTTTCCGTTCCCGATGTCTATAGAGCGTTTGGACTTGTCTGGTGCAGTCAAGAAAGAATATGGTGCATCCGCCGATGACAACCAAGCTGGTGCTTTGGAGTTGGGCACTCCTTCCGACATTCCCGACGACATCTATGATGGGATGCCATTGCTCACGTACGAAGGGCACATCCACGACCAATTCTTCACCTTCCATGGGTACTTGGATCATCTCCAAGGCGTGTCCTTTCGTCCACATTTTCACAAGATCCCACGAGAGCTCCACGAAGAAGCCGTGGCGAGTCTACCCAAGCACATCGTGGTCGGCAATATCGACGACGTTTACCTCTTGGCCCTTCAAGACGTCGTAGGCCTTGAAGTCGAGCTGGAGCACGTCGTTCGAGAAGCGCTCGAAGACGACGTGCCAGACCCCATGATGTACACCGTGAGCCACTTCAGCGTTGACCAGCGGAAGGCAGTCGCGGCGGCATGGGCGGACTTGAGTACGTTGGCACTTGCCCGTGCGAACGTGACTATAGCCATGAACGCGCTACGGCGTTCCATTTATTGGCTTCGGCACTACCACGTCGCGTATATGAAGATGGCGAGAGTGCTGTCGACGCTTGGGTACATGGACGATGCGTGCGAGTGCCTCCAAATCCTCCTGGACAACGAGCCTGACCACGTGGCCAAGTTGCGTACCGAATTTTCGTTTTGCCCGATGCTGCACTCGCGAAAGACGGCTTCAATATTGTACCATCCAGTTGTGATGTTGTTTCTGCAGGTGGGGACGCTGACCGTGGCGTTTGTGCTGTTTGTGTGGTGGGTCAAGCGCCAATACATCGACTCTCCACCACCACCGACGACGGCAACTGACAAAAGGCAGCGAAAAGCTCCACATCGAGGACGGCATTTGAAATAAACACTTCGCTCTGTTCATTTCCACGCTACCACCACACGTTTGAATTTGTCGTGCTTGGCACGAAATCGTCGGGTTTTCCAGCCATCCATTTTCCTCTCGTTCGGAGTCCACCTGCACAGCGACCCGGCACGCCATGGAATGGAGGGCAGTGTTGTTGTTTGTAGGTATCATGGGACTTGGGACAGTCGACGAGTCTAGCCTAGGCAATCAAGATCCCGCCTAGGCCAAAGTTGATGGTGGCGAGCAGCATGTCGTGCATCTTTTGTTTTGTTGTGTACGGCGGGAGTTCGACAGAGAAGAAGCACGTGTGGGCGACGGGGAGGCTCAAGATGCTGTCGCGGCCGGCCTTTTTCGTGAGCTTGAACGGCTGGGGCCACTTTCCACGGGGCAGGCGACTGCGACCCCACGCAAATCGGACAAAATCGGATCGTTGCTCGTCCGAAAACGACGCCATGACGTCCCAAAAGAGCTGCACAGTCTCGTCCTGTTCAGTGTACCCATCGTACCGCGTGTGCTGTTTCCACAGCGCAATGTCAATCTTGGGACTTCCGCAGCTCAGCATTTCCATCTCTTGCCAGTTGAGAAGAGTCAGGACGCGGACGGGGAAGAGCGTCGAGAGGCCGCGCAGCATGGCGCCGCACTGCACATCAAATTCGTGGAGGCGGTAGTGCGCGACCAAGTCGCAGTACTCGACACGGTTGGCAAAGGTGACGCCCTTTTGACTGCCGCCAGGAACGAGCTCCACGAGCTGGCCGTTCGAGTCAAATGTCGTGAAGCGCAGTTCGAGGTCGGCAAACGCGCTTTGGAACTGCCCTTCCGTCGTAATGCCATCTTGGTCGCATTGGCGAATCCCGTTCAGCATCTGAACCAACAGTGCGTCCGTCCCTTCCAAGTCGACTTTGTCCACGGGCTGCCGGAGCAACAGCTTCCACACGAGCGGACAAAATGCAAATGGAAAGTCGCCTTTCGTGCGTAAACTGATGCCCTACGCGACAACTCGGATCGGTGCTTGAACCCCACGTGTAGCCGTACCAGCAGTTTGCCCACAAACTCAAACATTTGAATCGCCACGGGGGACGTGCACTTGCTGTTGGGCAAGTACATGCCGCGGTTTAGTCCTTCAAAGCATTGCAAGTCAGCCTGCGATAAAGACACAGTTGGCACCTGTGTTGTGCTGGCCATTCGGGCACAGCAAGAACAGATTGATGTGGGAGGAAAACAAGTCGTCCACCATCGAGTTGGTGCCTTCGCGGTAGACCCCGCCCCAGTCCACGCCTTCCTCGCCGCGGAACTTGACGCTGAACAGGCGGCCTTTGCTGTCAATCTTGCGGCGAAGAGACTTGGGGTCCACGGAATGCAGCTGACGGAATGCCTGGACAAAGAAGCACTCCGACCCGGACGGCTCCACCTCTCGGTCTTCTCGCGACTCGAGCGCGCGAAGGCGGTCCAACGTAATTCGAGCAGTGCCGTTGTTGGCACTCGTTGCGTCGGCCACGACAACTGTCGCTTCGATGGCGGCTTCCACGAGCTTCAACTTCAGGTCGAGAAAGACGCAGTGGCTGAGTTGACGCAGCTACCGGTCGGTGAGAGGTGGCCCAGCATGGTTTTGTCACAGGTGCAAACAACGTTTCCCTCGTCATTGCTGAAGGATGTACTGCGTACCTGATGCGCTATCGTCCACGAGTACTCGGAATCGTTTAGGTTGAGCAGCGAAATGCACCCCGCCAACCGCGTGTTGAAGCACCGCAGCAACGCATATCGGAGTTGAATCTGCACACGAGCAAAGACGTTTACGTTCGGCGAACAAACGCCAGCACAATCAAGTGGCATCAAAACAACGACGCCGTACCTCCGACCACGGCAAATGCAGCAGAAGCGAGCACCGCAATCCATCCAATGTCGGGTGCAGTCGAATGTCCGCCGGGAGGAGGTCTGCATGTACGCCTTCGCCCTGACTTTCCACGTGAAAGTTAACCCAGTCGACGAGCTGCGCATCCATGGCTGGCGTCCACTGCCCGGCCAGGACGTTCGCTGCACATTTTTCAAGGTCTTGCACCGTGCAGCGCGCCAACTGGCGCTCCAACGGCATCCCAACCGCCGTCACGGTCACACTCATGGTTGAGTGGTCTGTTGTCGGAACAAACGTGTACCGAAGGACATTGCCCACGACGTCCATCACGTCCGAGATGATGACGACGGGGGCAAACACGATGGTGTCGTCTCGATTGGTTTCCGATCTCGTGCCGACCTCGAAGTAGACATCGTCGCGTTGGTCAAAGCGCGGGTCAAAGCACAGGCGAAGCGAGTGCGCGCCGTGGAATTCCAGCGTGTCACTTGCAAGCTCATTGTACTCCAACGTCGCACTTGCGCCATGCAGGTCCAACCACATCAAGACAACGAGCTCTTGCGACAGCGCTTGCTTGGACGAATGCAGCAGCACTCGAGACAAGTGGACAGTTTCGGCAATGATGGCAAGCATGCTGCTCGCTTCCGTCGGCACAACGATGGGAGGTGCGATCGGAGCGACGTAGAGGCTAGTCGCGCGGGTCTTGCCTGGTTCGTGATTTTCTTCGGCGGTCGACTTTGACGTCGATGACGACACGACTACCGCAAGCTCGACCAGTTTGAGCAAGTGCGTCGACACAAATGGCCGGCCCTTGCTGATTTCTGCTTGAGCTTTGGCAATGGCCAGCTCGCCAATGCGTTGGAGAGGCGCAACATCGACCGTGATGGCGGTTTTCGCGAAATCGTGTGCGACAAGCAGCTGCAGCAGCAAGTGAATGACTTTGTGTTTCTGCGGCGCGCGCGGCGATTGCAAGTACTGGACCAGGGCGTCGTATATTTGAGCGAGTTGGGACATGTCGAGGTGTGGTTGATCCGACAGGAGGAACTCGAGCAACCAGCACGCATAATCGAGGGACGGATGGTGCAGCACGTCGAGCTCGTTGCTCCACGTAATGCTCGGCATGACGTGGACTTGAAAGCGAAATCCGTACGTGGTTGCTTCCGATTCGTCGTTTGCACAGTGCAGCTTGTACCAGAACGTTCGGACGCCGACCCATAAGTCGGCAAACGGTTGCTTGGTCGGGCCAAACGCTGCCACGAGTTGCTTGCACTCTGCGTCCGAGTAAAACGACAGCGTCGAGTTGTTGAGGAGACATGATCGCTTGTCGAATACGACGCGCACGGGCAACGGTGTGTGCGACGGCACGGTCACATGCGCCACGTAATCGCTCTTGTGGTAGTATGGGTGCAGCGATTCAAATTGAAGCGGCAACTGGCATACTTTGCCTTCCCTCGCAATTTGCGTCGACCGGACAAAATGCGAAATGCACTCGTCGACGAGTACCGACGACAACGTTGGATGGTCTTTCAAGACACGCACCATCGATTCGTGGACCGCTTTGACGGTTCCGCCAGCAAACGACGCGCCAACGACCAATTTGAGCAACTGGACAAATGGCGCAGACCCCCCCATGACTGTCAGAGCCGTCGAGCTGTCGGTGCTGAGGAATACAAGCAACGCTCGCCGCGCATAGCACGTGGACAGCGCTTGCTCCGTGCGGAGAGCGACTTGGTAGATGCTGTCGACAGCCACCAAGTCTTGGTCAAACACCTTGCGCCAACGTCGAACCTTTGTCGGACACACATACTCTTCCTCCAACGCTCCGTTTTCTGTGTTGAGAAAACTCAAGAGAACCCCCGGGGAGGCGGGTCTCGCAGAGGACGCCCGTGGCGGCGGCGGCTTTACGACAGTGCCAGAGCGAGCCAAGTGGGCAACCGGTCCCGTCGTTTCGCTGACAGTGAGGACGACGTTTGGAAGCAAGTACGTCGGATCCAGCGGACCCCATCCATTTTGTGGATCTCGGGCGACGATCGGCGCCAAAGTTGCTGTCATTAACGAGTTGTCGACGTCGCTACCACCAGCGCTGATCTGGTCATGCGCTTGACCAGCAGACGCTGCCGTGGGTGTTGCGCTTGCGCCGGTGGACGTCCTCGCCGTCGATGCACTCAAGTCCTGTCCAGGTTCGAACAAGAGCGAATCCGTTTGGTCGGCGACTTCCAACGCCGCTTCGTCGTGCAGTCCGGACAAATCTTGGCAAAACGCGTCCATGTGCAAATTCAGCGGGGTCGAGAACCGGCGGCCATGCTCCAGCAGCCACTCGACGGCACGATTCGCGTCGCCGCCGCAAATGTCGAGCGCGGCCAGCACGAGGCGCATGGGCATTCCCGAAATCACTTGCAAATCCTGTGCTTTCTCTTCGCGGGACGTCGTGTCATTAAGTTGGCAAAAGGTGGACGCCGACGAAGCCGACGCCAAGTTGCGGCGATACACGATGGCTTGGTCTCCCATGAGCCACTCGACGGCAGCATTCGGGTCGTCTCTGGCGTGTTCCAGTGCTATCAAACACAAGTCCATTTCGAACCCCATAGACACCAGCGTGGCGGCGAATCCCTGACGGACTAAAGACACGGGCGGACGTGGCGGTGGCGCATTTTGCGGCTTCGTCTCGGTCGCTCGTTTTTCAGCGACGATTGGCGTCGGATCTGGCAAGCCCTTGAACATCATCGGGCCCAGCGGTGTGGATGCTTCAATTAGACGGCTCAGGATGCTCCTGCTACGCTCTTGTAAAGCTGGGGTGGTGACGAAGGACGGCAAGTTGAGCGGCGTGAGTGCCGTTTGGACCAAGGACACAGCCGTCGCCAATACGCGGTCTTGTTTTAAGAAAGATTCCAGGGCCAGCAACGCGCGGGATCGAAGCTGCGCACGCCAGAGCGAGTCGTCCTGCAGAGTGGCGAAGTGCAGCAGGGGAGGCATCAACTCGTTTACGTTGGCTGTCACGAGCGATGGAATTTCTTCGATCGGTGATATATCAGAGACACAAACTTGCTGCACTTTCGAACCATCTTCAAACACGACACGAGCGGTCTCATGGGTGCGGCTAATGAGGGTTGCCACGGACGGCGCTTCGTCGGTTGAGCTACCCTGGACTTCGACTTTGCCGCCAATGCGAAGGCAATCCAAGTGCGCACCAAGCACACACAGCGCTCCCATCGCACGAAGGACAACCACGCGCGTTCGAATGTTGCTCGGGTTTCCTGCTTGCGTCACGACTGGGGCAGCATTTCGAATGGCTGCGCTAAGAACGTCCGACACGCGGGTGGTCCATGCTGGCTCTCGCAGAAGCAGGCGGAGCAGCGCGACGGACTCGGCCGCGAGAGCGAGGAAGATTTGACCCGTATTGAATCCTAATGGGTTCGCCAGCGACTCGCGCATGCTGCTCTGGCTCATGGGCTCGGCGTCGCTACCGCAGATCGAGTCGGACACACGATCGAGCAACAGGTCGAGGAACACGGTGTCCATTCCAAGGATCGTGCCGATTCGAGCGGGGGTGACGACCCGAGCCACCTGGCGCAGCAAGAGCTGCACGAGGCGCTGCGTTCGTGGAGACCCCATACGCAGGAGGAGTAGCAACTCTCGGAGCACGGCTGGTTTGCTCAGGTGCTCTTGGGCGGGGTACGTGTCACTCTGCGAGATAAGGAACACCAGTAGGTTGAAAACGTACGCTTCGACTTCGAGAGGCTCGAGCGGCGCCGCTTCTTGGGACGATTGATGGACAGGTGTTGACATGGACCTCAGCATGGACGGTTGCTGTGCTCGAATGAGTTTCTCCGCGTCGTGAATGAGCTTGGTCGCCGCAGCTAGCTCGCGCTCGATGCCTTCAAAAACCTTGCGATGCAACTCGACAGAGAACCAAAGGCGTTGCGCTATCGGGACTTCAAGGGCCGTCGAGGTGGCAGCACTCTTGGCCACGTCACTCGCGGCGTCCGCAGTCTTTTGCTGCTGGATCTTGTCCTTGTCCAACCGTCGGTTCTTGGCAGACTCCGCTGCCTGAACTGCTTCCACCTCGACACGTTCTCGAATTCCGCTGATCGCGACGATGCCGAGCAGGCGGAAAACAATCCATGCCGATTGCTGCAGTTGAACGCGGCTAATCAAGTTCTCGACGCTCGGAGCAGCGTGCACAACGGGGCGAGCCTCGTCGTCTTCGCTTTCGTCGCTTAACCCGTACAAATCTTCGTGCAGTTCGTCGCTGTGGATCGCTTCCTTGATCCATCGCATTTCGTAACTTAAGCGCGCGTGCCGCCATCGACGGAACTGTCGTTGGACCGATTGAATTGCTTGAATGCCGCGCGTCCACTTGGCCTCGGTGGCATCGATGTCCCAAACAGGAACATTCATCCGGGACCAGTGGCACTTGGTCAAGAGCGCGTTGAACTGCGTGGACTCTGCACAGACTGCGAGTTCGCCGTCGCCGTCGTCCAAATGGTAGCTGAAAACGTGCGGATGGGATGTCTGTGTCGCGTTGTCGGTCAACAACGGCGGCGATCGTCGATGATAGTTGGCGCTGACGTCGTGGACCGTTCGCGCACGCAGCCATACACGCAACTCGGCGATAAGTCCTTTGAACTTGCGCTGGACTTGCGTGGATGCTAAGTCGGAGATCCAGCTGCCCAAGCGAGCGGGCCGCCAGTGCACTTTGGCGCATGTCTTCTGGTACGACAACTGCTGAGTCCATCGGCCGTTCACAATCAAGTCGACGACTTGTTTGTCGTGGTCGTACAGGACAGCGACGTGGTGCCAAACATGGGTAGCAAACGGATGGTCAAAGAGCTGTTCGCGCGGCACGTTGCCCGCGATCGCGACTTGCATGCGATTCTCCACGAGCTCCACGTGGACGCTGCCGTCGGCAAACCCGACTTCGCTGCGCAGGGTGCTGTACCCCTGCAGTTCGGTAGGGTGCATCCACATCTCGATGGAAAACGACGACGATGTAGGGTGAACCGACGGCAGCATCGGGAACTCGACGACCGACACGTCTTCGCCTACGTTGAGCTGGAGGACCTTGCGTCCGAGGTCACTGGGCTTGGTCGCCCATATGAGTTTGCCATGGAGCGATCGGAGAAAGTCCGAGTACGCCAACACGGTCGACGACGCTGTGTGTTTGGACACAAGTTGCTTGAATGACGACGGGATTGGACTCGCCGACCACGGCGACACCGTCGGACTCTTGGCATACGGAGGAGCTTGGAGCATCAACTGAAGAACAGCTCGCTTCGTGAGACTTCCGCGGCCGAGAAGGCCCTTGCGGACGTAATCTTCCGCTAACGGGTGCCACTCCGTGACGACGACCCGCCGCTGCTTCGTGGACATGACGAAGGGATGCCCCATGGACGCGGGATTGTGGTTGCATGCAATGTCCTGTCGGGCATTGCTGGATAATGTCGCAACGGAAAAGAGCTTGGTGAGCAAGCCAAGAATGTCGACGTGGAGCAAGAACTCGTGGTCGCGTGGCTCAAAGTCGATGGCCCATGCCCCGATCAAACTCTGCTGCCACACATGGGATGTTCTCGGCGTTGGCTTGCTTGAGGCACCTTGGCTGGATGCTTTCGCCAGCATTTGAGCGAGCGACCCGTATAGCTCCATGAACGCTTCCTGCACTTGCTTGAGCACGGGACGGCTGCACCCTTCCAACCCCTTGAGGTAATGGTGCCGCACAGTTGGGCGAAAGGCCGACCCTTCGAGCAGCGACTGCGGTTGCTCCAAGTACGTTTCCCGCGCCAAGCGCTCGTCTTCTGTAAAACCTCGCAACGCCGGTCGGAGAAACAGCACAGCGCTGGACCGGCACGTGTCAAACGAGATGCAGTTGAGAATTGTTTTCATGGCTTCCAAGCCGTACACCCGCGACCCTGACCTTGTATACCTACGGGCGACGGCACCCTCAGAGAATGACGCAGGCATCCCACCAACTTGGAAACTATTCAATCGTACCGGCGTTCCAAGAGGGCGTACAATACTTCGGGGGGCGCGCCAACACCATTCCGAACATACAAATCGCACGCTCGAAGCATCGCACTGAGGTATCCATCGTCAATGCCGTCAAGAGCCGTCGTCGTGCCCTCGGATGGTGGGTCAACGTCATCGCTAAAGGTTGTCGCGCTGTTGCCGCCACCGAGAGAGGCGGCGTCAAGGACATGATTGCTGCTAGTGCGCCGTCGCGTGCGCCAATTATGCTGCGCTTGCAGCACTTGCACTAGTCCGTTCCACTTGGATCGGTCACTCAACGTCAAACTTCGCCATCGATCCACCATGGGCTGCAACGACGGCGGCGGGGGCTGGTCGGCAGTCCACTTTTCTGCCAAATTTGACAATGCCGCGGACGACCACCGATTTGGCGTTTCTGCTGGAGGTTCTAAGTGACAGAGGAACTCTGCGCGACGCTGCACATGCTCGACAAACGCGTCAAACGACCGCGGCAATGTCAGCTTTTGCTCCCACACCTACACATCGTACCATCTTTGTGAGATGCCACGCGCGATTTGTCCGACGCAATCGATTCAAGGCTCGCGTAATGACGTACACTAAGCTGCGGTGCCGATTCCACCGGTGGTGCCACGTCGTCAATTTGCTTGGCCCGGTATTCATGCTTGCTCTTAATGAGCCAGTGGCGCAGGGTAAGTATACACTTCCACAAGAGCGCCATGTCCGCGGATGGTTGGACCGTGTACTCTTGCGATTCAATGACTGCTTGGGCTTCATGGAGCAAGTGGGGCGGCGCATGCTTGATTAGCGCCGCGATCATGGCTGTCTCGACTTGGGGGAACGTTTCCTGGCGTCGCCACATCAACGAGTCGGGAAGCACGGCGTCCAGCCACTGCACGAGCTTGGGCGATTCGACGACCAACCTTGTGCGGCCAAAATCGGTCTCGTCCAACGGCGCTGCCACCGTCAGCAACGAAGACGACGACGATTTCCGTTGCTTTGCCAGTATTTGACCAGGACCTGGCACGGTTTTGTCGGGCATAGCCAAGTTGTACCGCGGGTTCTGGAACGGTCCTTCGTTCTTCAGGGCAGACGACCATGTTGTCTCCGTGGCACCGACAACGACGCCGCCCATACCGGCACCACTCGTGTTGTCGGATGGTCCCATGAGACCTCCACTCAACAGCGTCGACTGGAGCCATGGTTGCAACTCTTCTTCAACACCATCAATCGGTGAGCCGGATATGATTGTCCCGGCAAACCGGCCAGCCAACGACGCGGTTGTGTTGAGGACGTCCAGCAGCCAGTGTAGCTGCAGCGTCGACTTCGCTACACCGCCCGGCCGCACGTCCACGACGTCCTGGACACCATAGACGCTCACAGCGGGGACAAGCGCTGGAGGAAGGTCGAGCGAAAGGTCGCCAACGCTCTGGCCGTTGTGGGCAAACCCGACGACTTGTCGGTCGTTGTCGATTGTCATGGCGAAAACGTCGCCGTTGTGAATGGCCAACGTCGGCGATCCAAACCGAACGCATGTCCCCTCGTTCCACAGACACCCGATCGCTGGCATGAACCCAATGCTGCCTTTCGTTTGGCCGAGGAATGCGCGCGTCGTGGGCATGGTGCCCGCGACCCCACACTCGAATCCGATACAAAGGTGGCCGCTGACTCCGCCGCCGACGCGACTGCTCTTGACGATATACTCGAAAACATGGACCCCGTTCGTCACCGCGCTCGTGCACCACACGGTCCGCCACAACCCCGACTCGCCCATCACGGTCAGGGTGTTGCCCAAGTGGCCGATGGCGATCGAGGCTGCCTTGCGTTTTGCGTTGAACTTGACACATTGAAGGCCGTCCATGGGAACGATCCAAGGAAGGGTGTCCATGGGATTATCTTCCTCGACTAGGAACGTGGGGACGCCGTACGCGGCGCCAGTCAAGTTTTGCGAGTTCGGAAACCCTGTCGACCCGGACGCGTAGCAGTCGCGAAGGATCTTGATGAACGACCGATCGTACTCTTCGTCGGGAAGGTTTTCTTTCTTGTACCATGGATCGCCACCGTTTGCAAACTCTTGCGTGGTCAAGCGGTAGAGTTTGCCATGACTGAGCCGCAACGGAGTGTCAAGGTAGTCATACACGTAGCCCATGCCGTCGGACGGCGACGACGTACTGACTGTGACGGATCCGAGCAGAGCCTGGGATGCTTCGTCCCACAGCCGCACCGTGTGCTTGTGCAGCAGCTTGCCACCGTTGCGCGCCGGGTTGACCGAACGGCCAAGGGCCACGAGGGTAAACGACGCCATGGCTTCAAACTGAAACCCAATTTGACCCTCAAAGTGGTCCTTCTCGCCCGTGTACAGCTTGGAAAAGACGTTGTAGAGCTGTTTCTGGACGCGCGTGGGGCTCTTGTCCACTTGCCACTTGCCTACATCGTCTACATCGATGGCGTACGACGAGAGCCGTTGATCCAAAGCAAGGAGACGTCGCTCGGACTTGCGAACGGCTTCGTCTTGCCCGCAGATGACGTCCAGCACGCGCAGTACCATCGTGAGCTTGGGTAGCAGCGGCCGGACAAGCCACGTCTGTCGGCGAAGCAAACACAGGCCCGACACAAACGGCGGCAACAGTGCACGGATCACAGGCGACAGCTCGGAAGACGATGGACTGTCCAACGAGTGCTCCAACGATTTCCGCACCGTCGTCAAGAGGAGTTCACTGTATCGCATCGTCATGTCCTGGATCACGACGCGGAACGAGTCGCGGGGCGATTTCGTGAGCTCGATCACTTGCGACAGCAAAAAGAGCTGGAACGTCTGGACACACGCCAATGCGTCGGCTGCAATGGACGTTGTCGGTGCTTCCGCGGTCGCGTAGTCGGTGAGTATATGGGTCATGATTTCTTGGACTTGGGAGCTGTGAAGGCGATCTGGCACCAGAGGGAAGAAAGTGAGCACACCCATGTCTCCCGGCAACGCCAGAAGCGCCAACAGCTTGGACAGGACCAAATACCGCGCGGACGGCGGTTCGAACCGGTCGTGCGCATAGCTGCGCAGCAGAGTCAGGAGGAGAGTCGTACGGTCCCACGACGCGGGATACAACAAGCTCAAACCATCGACCAGTGCTTGCGCTGCTGTGGTTTGCAACTTTAAGAGCGGTACGAGCAGCGATGGCTTGGTTTGCGCCGCGCCGGGAGTGCCGAACGCTGAAACTCCTCCTTTCACAGGTGTCCACGCTCGCGTCTTCGCTGGCGACATTGGATTTGAAACGTGAATATGCGCTAAACTCTCGAGAAGCGATCGTATATTGGCCAGGACGGGGACCATCGGTCGACACTTGCCAGAGGCTTGCTGAGGAAGGGGCTCGTACAAGTCAAGCACTGTGAGTTGTCGCCCAAGGATCTGCAAGAGCAACTGGCATCGGTGCAAACTCAGCGCATGCGTGCGCTCATCGTCCGTGTCAGCGATGGTCGACAAGTGGCTTTGAATCATGTCTGACAACAGCTCGAACGTGATTGTGTTTGGTTGAATGCAAAACGCCTCCTCGAACGACACTTGGTACGACGCCTTGTTGGCTAAAAACACTGCGCCGAGTCGATCTGCGACGTCCAAGAGCGATGTAGCCACCTCATCGAGGGGATGCGCGCATTTCAAGAGAGCCGACGACGATGTCACGAGCGTCAACGAATCACTCGCCTCGTTCGGTGGCAGCTGCGCTGTGAGCGCGGCGGCACTGGGCACCGACGTTGCGAATGCTGTCGCACTGCCCGCGGAGGAGGGATCGTCGCCGCCGTGACACACAGCACACACCGTCGTCGTGCCTTTGTTTGCAAAAGTGCAGGCGCCGCACGTCCAGTCATTGACGGCAGTAAGCTGCGGATCGACCCAAATCGCATGGGCGCCATGGTTGCTGCCGCTGCAACTTACGCGAAACTCGAGCATCCGCACGTTCGCGATCGGAACCGAGAACGATTCGACGTGGGACGAGTTCGTGACTGGCTTGGATTTCCACAGGACTTGTGCATCGCCGACAAGCGAAAACACGACAGATATTCCACGCTGGGCGAGGACTTCGTTGGAAACGTCATCGTTCAGCGCAACGCCTCCACTCACTGTCGCGTACGCCCGACCGAGATCGTACGTCACAAACGCTTCGCCACGAGCAGGCGGATGTGTGGACAGCGATCGCTGCCTCGCTTCCGACTGCACACTGATGGTCGTCGAAGGCGACGCCGACGATGGGTCCAATCCGTTCGCCGTGTTGTTGTTGGCTTCTCCAGTGTACCCGAGGAGGTTGCCGCGTCCAAACCGGCCGTGGCCGACGGCGTATTCGTACTCGGGCAAGGTCGAGACATAGATCGGGTCCGCGTTAGCACTGACCATGCCGCCGCTCGCCACGGACGCCGGCGAGTCGCCCCACTTGTGCAGACTCAGGAGGGTGATGACTTTGCCGGACCCGTAGAACGATACGGCCGGGTACACTTCGTGGCCGCTCAAGTCGGTAAACACAACGCCGAATTCGGTCGTGTTGATTGTGTACGACATCGTGCCGACGTTCATGTCAACATCAATCTGAACAACGTCGCCGGGGTGCACTTTGCCAATCGATCGACTTAACTTGTGCCCTCGTGCGTACAAGTTGCCATTGTATCCGCGCAGCATCCACAAGCTCGGAGACGAGTCGTACCCGCTGACCGTCACGGGAAGGATCGCCGCGCCGAAACAAGTCATTTCATCGTCGGTCGTGTCCGTGTCCAGGCGGAACTTCCAGCTCGCTTTGCCCGTGGAAATGGGCGAATTCACGACCGCATGTTGGTAGCTGGTTTCGCGGGTCCGAACGGTCGCGCCACCGTCTTCGATGGTCGTGCCGGACGACCCCAACGTCGCTTCAAATCCCGCGCGAATCTTTCGCGATTCGGTCGACGGGACGGCGTGCTGGATGCGCTCTTTTTCGACAGTCAAATGCGCCTCGACGGTGCTCAGGACATTGCACGATGCATCCACGCACGTCTGAACCAAGGGCAAGACATGGTTCGACTGGCGCAGCGCGAGGGCCACGTGCACGAGCCGCATCAACGCCGTGAGCGATCCGGTTGCGAGGGTCCACGTCTGCAGCGCTTGGCATGCATCGACAGCAAGGCAAGATTTGTCGGCCGTGCTGGTATCGCCCTTGTACAACACCGCATTCACAAGCCATGTTTCAACGTCGGCCATCACCGTGTGCGGCGCCACAGTATCCTGAACCGGTGCAAGGAGGCGGAGGTTGATAATTCCGTATGTGCCGTCTTTGTTGGTCGATGGAACTCCAGAGAGGGCCAGACGCAACGAGTCGGTTGCTGGGGGCAACGGAGGAAGTTCGAGGCGGTCAGGGAAAGGGCTCGTGGGTTTGTTTTGGAATTCTTTCACTGTTTCGAACGTGGTGGAGCCGCGCACCTTGGCTTGCACTTGAATCATCGTGGGTTGGGCCAACGCAAGCCATTTGAGTTGCAATGCGACGATGTTCGTCTGGGTCAGAGCGATCGTGACGTGAACGACGCCTGGGCGCACCGCCGTCAACCAATAGATGGAGTCGGACGAGTCCAATATCGAGTGGACAGAGTGCCTTGGAGACGTGTGGGTGGCCTCGACTTGGTCTTTGGACACTACCACCTCCTCCTCGGGGGCTTTGGGGGGCGGACTCCAAAACGACAAAAGCGACAACGGCGGAAAGTTGCACAACATTCGCGACAACTCCACGAACGGTGCGCGCGAGTTTTCCCCGCTGTAGTCGAAGAACCCGAGCAACGTCGACAACGCATGAATCGCCACGTGGTGCAGCTCAACGTGTGGTGTTGCGTCGGCCAGGGGACGACGCAGTTTCTGCGTGCGCGCGGATTTCATCAAAGTGGATACAATTTTGGCGCTGTGGAAGATGATGGCAAAGCGTCGCTCGAGCACATACGTGAACGTTGGCGTGGGCAGTCCGTCGATGAGAAGCTCTTCAAGGGTTCGCACGAGGGACTTGTCTTTGTCGGACGAGTCCAAAAGTCCCGCCGAATTCATACTGACATGATCGTCGACGTTTTGGCGGCATTTCATGCGGCGCTGCGGATGCATGCGATGTTCGGTGGGGAGGTCCCCAAAGTAGTTTTCCCCGCATATCAATCCCCGGATGAACGAGTCGTTCAGTAGGTTGAGTTGGAGGTGGCCGAGGTACTCTTCGCTCTTCAAGTACTCGTCCCAACTCGACGCATTCGAATATTGTAGGGGAGCAAAACAAACAGCGCAACTGCGAGATTTGCCTGCGTGGAGCACAGCAGGTTTCGGCATCCATCCTTGTTCATGCACAGGAAGCTCGAAGTCGACTCCTGCGTGTTGCTGCGCATCCTGAGGTGTAGATGCAACGGTTGTAGTGGTAGCTGTCAGCAACGGCGGCGGGGCTGGCGTGGCGGCAGCGACAACCACCGGCATCTTTCACGATGATGGCGCGTGATCCGATGAAATCTTGAAACGCCAAAAAAGATCCACAGACATTGGATTGGACACTCTTTGCTCAACCTAATTGGTGGAAATATACGAAAAGGCAATTGATTGGTTGAAATAACTCCACTCAAATCCCGCTCACAATATATCTCTTTACACAAACGGACATCGATATAGCAGTATTAGTTGTCCGAAATATGTTCCCATCGCTGCACAACCAGGTATATTCTCTTGAATATTGTATATTGTGACTGCGCGAGTTGCGTGTCTGCAAAATGGTTTGGGTTATTTTGTGCATGACGGAATTTTCAGGAATTATCCAATCAGATGAGAGGCAAACAAAACAGAGTACTTTCATTGGTGGAAAGTCGAGAAGCCACTTGTTTCGTCAAAATGCTTCCCTGGTGATATCATTGGCAAGTTGAATTTTCTAGCGATTTCATTGGTATAAATTCACTGCGTCGCTTCAGTTGATGGCCTCGGCATATCGAATAAACTTGGTGCGGTCTTCGTTCCATTCGCCAACCCGCTTCTTGGGCGTCGACTCGGTCTTCTTGTACGTGACGTTGACAAGTCCTTCTTCGACGAGTCCGAGCACCTTCTCCTTCAGCTCGAGCGCCTCCGCCTGCATCTTGAACGTGTCTGGGAATCGGTACGACAACCAGAGGTAGACGTCGATGAGTTTCGACTTGATCTCGATGTCGCGGAGGGCCAATTCGTTGCGGGGGGCAAACTGAATCAACGTCAGGTCAATAGAAGTGAAAACTTTGTGCGCGATAGACGAATACCTTTGGCAAGTACACGTCCAAAGGAACACTGCGTCCGTTGCCGTGGCCGATGGCGTAGTCGACAAAGATGCGCCGAGCGAGGGGGTTCCGCAGATTCGCAGGCGCAGTGCAGAAAGTAAAGCGTTCGTCCAGAGGCATCGGGATGTCGGCCAACAGCTCCGCAGCTTCCTTGATGTCGGCGAACTTGCACATGAAGTAGCCACCGTCCAACCGCGCGAGGGACACATACTTTTCCTGGAATTGGCCGCAATTGAGTCGAGAACACGACGCGATCGACAGCGTACCAGTAGAACGCCGAGGTCTGTTGTGTCGGGCATTTGCTTGGCAAACTCCACCATCTACGTCAAGTGGTCTGCACGGTGAGCAGGTGCAAAGGCGGATGCAGCGTGGTCTTCACCTGTTCCGTGGACGGGAATAGCCCTGCAGCCTTCAACAGCGCTGGTGTTTCCTCGTAGGAGTCCTTGAGGTACTTCAGGTCGGCCTCTTTGAACGTCGTGGCGAGTCCGTGAGCATAGTCACTGCCTGAACGCCCCGCCCGCCCTGCGATTTGCTTGGTCTATTCCCACGCAGCGTGAAACCTTTTGCACACATTGGGGTGAAGTTGGGCAGACCAGCGACGGTGTGATGTCGACCATGTCATCTCCGTCAAATTTGAGGATGCTGTCAAAAATGATGCGGCCAATGTTCAAGTTGAGGCCCATCCCGATAGCGTCCGACGCAACCAGGATATCGTAGCCTACCCGCGGCCACACGATGAGATCTTTCTCCATGACAGGACCGACGTACCGTTATCTGGTTCGTTGAAGAGCCGCGCTTGTTGCGATCGCGTTTCGGGGGGCAGCTGGCCGTAGATGATGCAGCACCGCATGCCCGTGGAGATTTCAATTTCCCGTTTGATCTACCGCGAGTCGAGTGCAAGTTTGCATGGTTCCACAGGTCGTACTTGAAAAATGCGCCGGCGGGAGAACCCGACGATGCAATCGCCTTTTTTAATGTTGGCATACGACTTGAGCGCTTCCGTTTCAATCGACAGCGGGCTGCGACGGTCGTACGTTCGCAGTTCAAACTCGTCGCCGCCGACGTCGGCAAACTTGCGGACCTACGCGCCATCAACACCCACGCACTTACACGATCGCATGTGCCTGGCGTACCAAGTCGACAGCCTCCATGGATCCGCACACGTGGATCTCCTTGGCTTGCAAGCACGACAGCGCTCTACATGGCATCATTCATCGATGCTGGATGAGGTTGTGCGTGTGCTGAAAGCAATTACGTACCGCGTCCATGCCCACCCGCGCTCGCTATCGCCGATCAACTGGATCTCATCGACCACAGCGACGTCGTAGAGTGCTGTCGAGCTGCACATTTCGACCGTGCACGCCACATGCGTAGCCGATGGAATTTCGCGCTTTTCTTCTCCAGTGATGAGCGAGCAGTACACCCCGTCCATGTTGAGATTTTCATAAATCTCGAGCGCCAACAGGCGTAGCGGGCCACAGTACAGTCCTGCAACAGTTGTGGCGATGTTAGCGATGCCATCGGGTCATGCGCAGGCCTCCACCCAGATAGATGTACCATCGTTTGCCTGCTTGAGCCGAAGTAACGCTTCGTATGTCTTGCCACTGTTGGTAGGCCCGCCGTGATAGATGATCTTGCGCTTCATCGCGTGGGCCTTGGGGTACCAAGTATGCGGCAGCCGCAAGTCGGTGAGCTCGCGGAGGGACTGCATGGACTGCATGTCGTGCGAGGTGTCGGTAATGAATCCGTTTTCTTTGATAAACGTCAGAAAAAGCGGGTAAAATTGCAGCGCGCCCGCCGCGGGATTCGCCTTGAGGCCCTGGAGAGCAAGAATAAGAAGAAAGAATGGCCACAACAGGTCGCTGGGGATTGCCTCACCTCGATAAAGTCATACATTTCACTCGAGTCATTGAAATGACGATCGGGGTGCGCCACGAGCGATCGACGGAATTGCGTCGTCGCGGGACCCCACTCTTGGTCGTTCAACCCGGCTGCCACTGCCAGCGACTTGATCTCGAAGTCACGACCAAACGTCTTCAATCGTCGTTCGAGCAACTTCTTGTCCACGTTCAACCAGCCTTCATCTACACGTTTCAAGTTCATGGCTGAATCCACTGGCAGTTTTCAGGGTAGAACGTACTCCCCGCGTCGGTGGAGAACATTCGGCGTGTGTGCGGATGCATGCCGAACGATGGCAGCTGCATCATCATCGACACCAATGGAACACGAGCATGCCTTGCAATGGAAGCCTGCATAATCCTCGTGGTGGCGAACACCACGCCTTGTCTCGAGGCACCATGCACCAACGGAGTGTTGCGCTGGATGGCGCGCAACGACGCTGTGCGCAACATTGTGTTTGGGTGATGAAATCATTGGCCACTTGTACCTCCGGATAAAGGACGGGTATATGGGAGAGGTAGCAGTTAAACTAGGCAGAACTTGCCAGGAGGAAGAGTCTAATTTAGGCGTCTCCGTCCACGTCAACAGCAACCTCGATCTCAGGAATCGACCTACTACTCCGTTAGAGCAGCATGCAAGCAGGCAGCATGCCAAGCAAAAACGAATTCTAGTGATAGAGAGATATGTTTGGAAAGAGGCTTGGCCTTGTACAAAATGCGGGGCGCAAATCTCGCATCACTTAATTTAATCTGAACATGTGCCTAAACTAGTTGCAGGTAGCGCCAAACACGCCGATTTGAACCCCAATGGAACGCGGCAGCCGACATGCAGCGTCCATCATGGCTGTTCCGTCGGAAACCTTCCTGGCAATAAATCACCTGGACATCGTCAATGATTACTACAATGGGTTTCAAGTGTCGGCTTCAAGCCTTCGCATCCCGCACACCGCCTACATCAAGGCGTCCACCAACCCGAAAAAGCGAAAGCGATCTCCTTCCGCCGCACCGATGCGGCTGCCACCAGCGGAGCTCCTTGTGACTCTAGAAGCAGCCAGACAATACGTCTTGCCTCATGTACATGATTTGCTTCCGCAGTACATCAAGACCGTTCCAGATTCTCCTGCACGGGACGCCACCCCCACCGCGCGGTCCGACCAGACAATCTCTGCCACCTTGATGGACGGACTGCAGGAAAACAATTCCGACGACGATGTCCTTGTCATGCACGACAAGAGGCAGTATCTCCTACCACGTCACTGCACGTTTGTCCTGGGAGATATCTTCCGCTTACCACGCTTCCCCACCACCTTCCGCTGCATTGTGATGGATCCTCCATGGGAAAACAGGACGGTCGCTCGAGGAGCCACGTACGCAACGATGCCGCACGTTCGCCTCTTGAATCTGGACGTACCGTCACTAGCTTGTCCAGACGGCGCGCTCTTGGTTATTTGGGTGACCAACAAGCCAGCCTTCCACGACTTCATCGTCGACGAGTTGCTGCCGCGCTGGGGGTTCACTTTCCTTCAAACGTGGCATTGGGTCAAAGTGGCTGCAGATGGCGAGTGCGTTACGCCGTTGTCATCGACCCACAAACTCCCGTTCGAGAAAGCGCTGGTAGCTGGACGCGGTGCATTCGCCGACATGGCGGTGGCACCGAGAGTGGCTGTGAGTGTTCCCTTGCGCCACTCGTGGAAGCCGCCACTCGCCCCGCTCTTGACCGAATTAGGAATCGACGAAGAAAAGGACAACAAAGTCGAGATCTTTGCGAGGGAACTGCGGCCCCATTGGACATGTATTGGCAACGAGGTGCCGAGACCACCACCCGAAACGTCCCCCCCGTCATGGATTTCGACCGTAGGTACTCAAGTTCCAAGACTTGTGTTTATTCGATGCTAAACCGCCAGACACTAGCGTGGCTGGCTTCAGAGCATCATGAGAGTTCGGGTGATATGGATGCCTCCATCCAGTGTGCGGGCTTTACGGGATGCTACCGAATGCAGCCCCACCTGTCAAACGAGCGAGAATCGAGAGATTGTTCGTGTTCCTTGGATAGCATCATTCACTGTCGACAATGTCGTCGTCCACATCGTCCGCCAGAAACGCTTGCGTTGGCCCAAGACTCGAATGTGGGAGCCACTGCAGGTACGGTCTCACATCTCGATGGTACGACGAGTCTACCGAGCAGTGGTCATCACGGCAATTCTTCTCCACCACGTACCGTGCTTCAACGGATCGTCGTCGCGGACACGCTGGGAGGCCGCTGCAAATTGCGATCGATGGAGCGGTCGAAACGCTGACGTCGCGGCGTGGTTGTTCGTGACATGGATGGTCCGCTCCAGCACGGTTTGGGCGAGTTCGTGGGTGTGTTGAAAGTACTACAAGCTCGACCCTGTCACGTGCAATGCCAACATGCCACGGCAGTGTACATTGGAATTCGATCGGTCGTGGTACACGCTTTGCAACAGCACGTCTGTAAAACTAAAGTAGTCGAGGGCTCGGGCCACGTCGTCGACATCGGTGAAAAATGCCACAAAATTGTGATGGAGCATCCCCAACGCGTGGCTTGTGTCGAGGCTGGTGTGGCTCAAGCGGGTTGAATCGTTGCTGGAGTCTGCAGCAACATCGATGCATGAACGACGTCGCGTTTCCTACCTTTTTGATGGAGAATTTTGCCAATCACGTGAAAGTCGGACAGAAACAAGTCCCTCGTGCCGCTTTCCTTTGTGTGCGCCGTGGACGTGCGCTGAAACTGCAACGTGTTTATGGCGTGGCGAATGTCTCCGCGGGAGCTCTCGACAATGTTGGTCACGTCTTGGGTCGACAACGCCATCCTTTCCTTCCGTGCCACGTGCATCACGTACTTTTTCAGCATTCCTACGATCGTGCGGATAAGGAACAGCTTGATCCAAGCAACATGCCGACGCTTCGTTCGTCTACCATACGCAACGAAAGCCTGCCGACAATGGAAGGAATTGTGTGCGCGACAGGACGCTCTGAAAATTCCCACGCGAGTCGCAATATCCAGAGGTGATGACGACATATATCGGTACTTCAGTGCATCGCAAGACGGACAGACACACGCAAGCAAGACGTATCTCAGTTTGACACGTACCAGGCGGAATGGGGTTGCAGTGGATGATGTGCACCAACGGCGACTGCATCACTTGCGGCGAAAACTCCTTGGCCAGCTTATTCGCCGTGACTTTGCCTTCGCGGACGTCGCTGTACACAATCACAATAGGCGCGGCGAATGCGTGGCTTCCTTGTACGTCGAGCCGGCGTTGCAAAATGCGCTGCAACTCGACGCGGTGATCGCTGTGGAACGATGGCCACTCCTCCACAAGGATCACGTGTTTTGCCGCGTTCGTCTTGGCGTTAGCAAAACGAAGACTTGGGTACCGTTGGCTTCGTTCAAGAAACGACCCAAAGTCGTCCATCGCTGAAGCAGACAATTTGGAGTAACCGGGGACCATGCCAGTCGTATCGTGCCACTCCTTGACCGTCATCCCAAGTTTCGCCGCCAGTGAGCGCACCAACGTTGACTTGCCCGTACCAGGCGGTCCACAGAGGAATAGAATGCGCTGGTGTGTGGAGGAGTGCACGAGCCAGTCCGAGACTTCTTGGGCTTTCTTCGGATGCATAACGACTTCAATTGTGTCGTTTGGCTGGTACTTGTCGTTCCATAGCGCATTATCAACTGTATTCGATGCGTTTGAGCGATCAAATGATTGCGAGAGCTGAGATTTTGCCGAGGTTTGGATGCTATTGCAGTCATCACTGCTGCTACTGTCGATGGACTCCATGAGCGATGCCTGCCCCCGCGGCTTCCTATTGGATGCTGTTGCAATCATGCGGCGCCTTGTATCGCAAAGACTACACGCAAGCGATGGGGTGTCGTTGATGAATGTGCACGACTGACAGGTCCACGGACATGAGACTTCAGCCTTGACTTTGGACTTTGTCAATTCTTTGCATCGCAGGTGTCGTGGGGTCGGTGGCGCAGTCGTTTTGCCTTTCAGAGTAAATCGAGACGTGCTGCATAGCTCGCAAGCTTTGTTTCCCGCGGGGTTAATATAGGTGCACCGTTCGCAGCTCCATGTGATGGCCAAAGGTGTGTCCACAACAACCATGTTGTCCTCGCCGTCGTTAGCTCTGCTTTGTCCATACGTCAAACGTTTCCGCTTTCGCTGCTTCGCCTTCTTGTACTCTTCGTCAGAAGATGTGTCGGAGTAGAGCCCCACGTCCTACAGCACGATGGTGATGTTCATGTCTGCTCTCGCGAGCCTCGCTCCCTCACACCTTGCTCATCTTGCCTCAGTCGAACGAATTGAACCGGATTCAATATCCGGATGTGAACCTGGTGTTCGGACAAACGTGTTCAAAAACACTGCACTTTTAAATTTTTAAAAAGCTGGAGATTTGTATGTTCCTTCGAATTCGAAAAAAATATGACCGTAATTATATTCATCTGGTCGAGAAAGGGCAAATTCTTCGCGTTTTTCGAGATTTTGGCGCGCCGCTGGGGGACAAATCAAATGTGAGAGGTTTTGCAATGTCGTTTCATTGGTGGAAATTTTGAATCCAGCGTTCCTATTGGTGCGATCTTTGCATGCAATTGTCGTATACTTTATGCAAGACATTGGGCGTGGTGCAAATATTGAGTTCCAGGGTTTTTGTGATACAGCTGCTCATCACTCTGCAGAAATACCCCGCTAAAACGAGGCAACATCGGCAAGGTGACGACGAGCATGACGATGGACGTGTCGACGAAGAAAAGCACGAGCCCGACAAGAGGTAGAACACACAGTAGAAGCATGGACATGTCCCCCGCGAGCCCCATTTACGAGGTACGCACGTGCATCTGACCTTTTTCGGCAATGCTAACGGACCTTACACAGAGACAAGGCAGAGTGGACAATCCGAGTCCTGTGCGGTGTGCAGCCGCTGAAACGATGATGACTCTCTTCATGAACTCTTCCAGAGAAGCGGAAGAGAGACTCACACGCGAACAAAAGCGAGACCATCAAACGGTCAAGAAAATCCGCGCCAAAGGTGGCCACAAAAAGGTTTTTGCCAACGATCAAACTGACGATCCTGCCTCCGTCAAGAAAGCCAAATCCAGTGCATCGAAGCTAGTCCCGAAGCTCAAGAAGGTTCAACCCATCACTTCTGCCTTCGGCGCGACAGATTCGTCCCCGCATACAACAAAACCGGAAGTCAAGATGGAGGTGTGCGACGATTTCGACGATGTGATGCCACGCAAAACCAAGAAAAAAGGCGATCTGAAGAGCATTCGAGCTTATGATTCCCGCTTTATCCAAGAAAATATCCGCATGGGACGTTACACTGTCGAGAACAACGGCCTCAATTGTGAGAAGCGCGCGCGTAGTCCCGAGCGGGTGCAGGACGAAAGCACATCCAAATTCTTGTTCGCGACGTCGATGACAGCCAACTTAACGCTTGAAGAGCAACTGCACATGGTGTCAAACCCTTCATACAGCCGCAAAGAAAAGTCGTTGGGGCTTCTCTGTGAAAAGTATGTCCCATGGCCACAACGAAACGCAAAGCTCTGTCTCCGACTTGACGAGTGTCAACACAAGCTCACTCGTTGCTCTCCTAGTTTTCTTCGCCTGTACTGTAACGACGAAATCGAAGACGTGTCGCTGGACATAGCGGCGTCGAAACTTGGTAAGGGGTCATTGCATGGCCGCCAAGTCTGTGAGGCATGTGGTTAACACCTCATGTAGGAGTGGAGCGCCGCCGAATCTACGACATTGTAAATATCCTTGAGAGTATTCACATTGTAAGCCGAAAGCGAAAAAACCTGTACAACTGGCATGGACTGAAGTCGCTCCCCACAACGATCCATGAAATGAAGGTGCGCACGCACGTGACGATGGCACCGATCATGGCAACAATCTTGCAGGAACGGTATGCACAAGAAGACAATGAGTCTGGCAATGAAAGTAGCAACAGTGGCGACGACGGCTGTAAAGGTGCTTCGTAAGACCCCCGAAGAGGACGTTTGCTGACTATACTGTGCAGGATCAGACGCAGCCCGCCGACGAGGCAAGTCTCTGGCGCGACTGAGCCAACTCTTTGTCAAGTTGTTTCTGGACGAAGAAAACATTATCATTCCACTGGATTTGGCGGCGAAAGAGTTGATTCAGCGTGACGAAGGTCTTGGTGAAATTGGAGGCAACGTGCTCAAAAGTATGTTGGTCGATCCATGTTCCATGTTGGCAACCTATTGCTGAATCACTCCCTGTAGCCAAAATCCGCAGACTCTACGACATTGCGAACGTCCTTGTCAGCGTCGGGTTGATCGAAAAAGTGCTCGTTCCGCATTGTCGCAAACCGCTGTTTCGATGGTTTGGCGGGCGGTTCAACCCCGACGTGTGCGGCATCCGTCGATGGGGCGAAGGCGACGAAACCATGGTGAAAGAAGACGATGACGGAACCAAGATGGTCGTCGATGCCAAGGTGTACGGAGACGACAGCATTGCGTCGGACACAGAGAGCGACTCGGAAGTGTACGCCCGCTCGACCCCTCGTACGTCAAAGTTCTATTGTAGTTTTTCAAAGGCTTCATCTATTCCTTTTAGTCCACCTAGCGACGCTGTTCCAGGCAGCAGTACCTCCCCTATCGACTCTGAAAGCGCGACGAAGCAAAGACACAGAGCGCCTGAGTTCCCTTCTCGTGAGCGCCCAAGGCGAGCTCATCAGCATGAACACAACCAGCCCTCAATCTGTCGCCGAAGTGGGCCTGGCCTCCCTTCGACCACACAAGCTCGCCGACGAACACACGGCGGCACCGTCCAAGTGTATAGCAACTGGTCGTCCCCAGTCCGCAGCGCAAGCGTCGTAGTACATGCTGCCCCGATCTTATGTAAGTTGAAAAATACACGCCAATTGTCAGTGTAGTGTTTACTTGGACTCTGTTAATAACTCGACATGAGCGTTTCCTTCAACTCGGCGTCAGTCGTCTCTGGGACTGTCTGCCGCGACGCCACCATGTCCTGCAGGAACCTGTACACGAACAGGCCGACCATGATGACAACGAGGCCGACGACATCCGTCGTGTGGAGCGGCTGGTGCTCTGGCATAAATGGAAACGTGAACGCGACGTTGCCGAGCGGCACCATGATCGTCATCGCCTAGACGACACATGTCATGGTTTCCCAAGTGGATACGGGGGTCGTACCAGCCACAAAAGGTTCGCACTACCAAACTTGAGCATGAGAATAATCAAGAGGTTGTAGCCAACGTTGAAAAAGATATAGATGGTCACGAACAACGTGGCCTTTTCGCAGTCGTCGGGGTGGGGGCCGTCGAGGATGGTATTGTGTCCCATGTAGCATTGCATCCCGTCGTACAAGTTCTTGGGGAGGTCGTGTGGACGCACGGGGGGGCTGCCGATCATGGCGGCGGGGAAAGACAGCGGAATGCTCAAGATAAACTGGAACACGGCAATCCACCCATTGAGGTACACGGCGTCTAGTTCGGCTTGACCGAGCGCGATTTCCTTGTAGACACTAGACAAGCACATCGGGATGCAACTTGCAATCATGACCGCAGACCAAAGGACCGTGCTGTGGTCTCCACCGCCGCTGGATCGCATGGACGGGCCCAAGACGACCAAGATACCAACTGCTACGACCACCGCCCCGACGTACTGGTACCACGAGTACTTGGTCTTGAGCAGGAACTTTGAAATGCCCATGCTGACTGGAATCGCCGCCTGACCGAGTAAGATGAGGAGCGAACCACCCAAGTACGTCGCGGCAAACACTTGAAGGATCCCCGCCACACTGTCTAGCGCACCCATGACGGCAAATTTGCACTTGGGAATGCGGCGTTGGTCCACAGTAATGGCGTTGCCATACTTGATCATTGGAAGGATGTATGCAAAGCTCAGTGGAATCTACAGCGTCCACGATGAGTGCTCGCTTCACAGATGCACGACCAAACTTACGTAGACAAACGTGCTGAGCAAGTTGATGAAGTTTGGGTAATTGTGCATGGGGATGGTTTGGAGTTTTTGAAAGACTATCCAACGCAAGAGGTGAGGCTCATGGGACAAGAGGACCACAGCCCTGGCATACTTTTGTTCCCAAGGCCGATGACAACGAGAGCCATGAAGACGAGCGGCAAGCGGCGCTCGTTGTTGTCAACGCCGCCCATGTTCCTTCCAGAGAAGGAAGATCCAAGATTGTGAAGAACAAATCACACACGTCAGATTCGTATGGAATGGAATTCTCACCATTCCATTGGCTAAAATTCAGCGTATTCTGTTCTGATTGGTTGAAAAATTCGAATTCACTCGACATTGGTCATGTTTGCCGCTTCCTTTCTGTTCATCGGACGATGCAAGTGAGTTGTCGTGGGGCATGCTTCGTGGGGGCGTTGGTCCTTACGGCTATTGCAGGGCTATTCATGCTGCTTACTCCGGCGCTTCTTGCTCTGTACCTGTTTGGAAAGCGCGGCGAGGCTCTGTTCCTGCTCGCGCAACAAATGGTCCAAGGCATGTGGCTGGCAAACGTCGCCATCCTGCTCGAGCAATGGCATGGCATGTCGACGGAGATATACATCATTGGGGATAAGTCACGACTGCCGTGCATCACGTCGGCCGAACGTGCCGTGTGGATTTCGAACCATCGTACGCGCATTGACTGGATGTTGCTGTGGTCGCTCGGACTACGTACCAACACATTGCATCAACTCAAAATCGTGCTCAAAGACTCGCTCCGCGCGGTGCCTGTGTTTGGGTGGGCCATGCAAGCGTTTCAGTTCATCTTCTTGGTCCTCGATGACTCTTCTTCGACATGCTCTGACCGCGACTGTGCTTTGTGTAGTCTCGCGACTGGAAAAATGACGAAAAGACGCTGACCCGACTCCTCACGCATCTCGGCCGTACTCGACCCAATTCGACCTACCTCTTCTTCCCTGAAGGCACGGACTTGAGTCCGTCCAACATGATCAAGAGCAATCACTTCGCCGCCACGCGGGGTCAGCCGCCTCGAAGTTACACGCTGTACCCGCGGACCACAGGTTGGAATCACATGTTTCCTCTCGTCCGCGACCACGTCGATGCAGTGTACGTCTTGCGCTCGAATTCATGGCGACTTGTCAGTGTGTTTGATCTGGTGGTGCCCATCGCTGGCCGTGACGTCATTTGGTCTTCGATCGAGATGGTGGGCTGAATGACCGCGTCGTGCTGGTAGATACGACTTGACGTTGTGCTTCGTCGACTACGAACCGAACGAACGGCCGTCAGAGGCATGTCTTCTCACGGGGCGGATGCCATCCACGATCAAGATTCTTCTTGAGCGCATCCCGATTGAATCGATTCCCCTGGACGCGGCGAGCTTGCGCCAATGGATGGAAGAACGGTTCGCCGCAAAGGAGGCTGTGCTCCATCAATGGCACACCAAGCAGCGGCTGCCCCCCACAGCCGAGCGCATCTTGGACCACGACATTCTCCAGCGCGCGCACCTCGTTCAGGCATTTTGGATTCTCCTCTGCACCCTGTGCTACATGATGCTGTACCAGTACATCGTCGTGCGAGTGTGCGGTGTGCTCGCCGTCATCGCCTACGTCGTCATCACACGAAATGGCGGAACTGACGGCTTTCTCACGTCGCGAAATGTCACGTAGTCGATTCGCTCTCACTCGGGCCGAGCGCTTCGCCGTGGTTGATTTCTCAACAGAGACATGGATCGACTTTTGAGCGTACATGGCTTGTGCAAAACCGTTAATCTTCGCCTGCAATCGCCGCGACCGCTTGTTCTGTGATGCGGCCACGTGATCCACGATCACCTCGAGCATCGGGCTTTAAATACTCTCGCACCACCCGCCACTAGATTGAGCGCGATGGTTCCCAACCTTGACGAGGTCACGACGAGCTCCTGTCATTGCCGAATCACGCGATAGTTGGGCCAGCGCAAGTTTGGTCGCGTACGACGCTAGCTACACCGCCAACGGTACCTCGCACGTGGAGTGTGAGCATGCCGTGCCACCCGGGCGCGATGTCTGGCACTGGAGGCGTAGAATTTGATGTCACTGCGGTCGACCATGCGCCACTTTCGACCCTTCCAGGGGTGGCTGGCTGCGCGAATCCTGTCTCCAAAATCCCATTGAACCGAGCGACGAACCAGCTCGTCGAAGTGGATGGCTCCCGGCCGCCATGCCTCGATCAAAGCATTCTCATGGCTGGCATAGAATTCAAAATGCGTGCTCAGGCACTGCTAGAAGTCGCTTCATTGGTAGTCACCACCAGCCACGGCCTTCCAAGAAACATGATCTTGCTACGCATTTTTGGTGTGGAACCACGGGTGTCGCAAGGCGGCGGCGGCCGTGGCACGCATAGCAGGGTCTTTCTGAAGCAGCGCTTGGATCAAGTCTTTCGCTTGAGTCGACACTTGCGACTTGTGGCGCTGGCTCGGTCTGGGCATCGGAAACTCGACTTCGTCTCGCATGCACGCGCTGGGGGGATAAAACGCAGCGTACGCAAACAGCATCTACTACCCGATTCAGATCCGTCAGTCTTGGTGGCCACCTTACTTCAAATAAAATGAGACCGGCGCTAAACATGTCGACAGCGGTCGTGTACACCGGGGTCGACTGCAGGAGTTCCGGCGCTACATCCAACACGTGTGAATGGCCAACAGAATCGATCGACGTACCAATGTAGCCAACCGTGCCGTAAATCCCTGAAAACGGAAGCCCCCGTTCGTGCTTGTTGTAAGCTCGAGCAGCGCCAAAATCGCACACTTTGAGTTGGCCCGACGCATCCAACAACAAGTTGTGCGGCTTCAAGTCGTGGTGGACAATGCAGTTCGCATGCAAATATTCGAGCGCGAGGAGGAGCTGGCGAAATACGTTCTTTGCGTCGTCTTCGGGAATTCCCATGTGGCCGATGCGGTGTTCCATGCTTCCGTTCGCCGCGCGCTCCAGGATGAGGTAATGGGCTTCCTATGTCGCAAGTGTCAGGTCATCGAGGTTGAGTCCCCTCAAGTTAAGGACGAATGGCCGCCTACGTCGTCTTGGTACGTGTCGATGAGCCGAATGATGTGGGGATGGCGGCAGCTCTTATGAATCACTTGCTCCCGAATCACCGACTGCTTTTCATCGGGGGACCGCAGGATATGCTTGGGAATCACCTTGACGACGACGCTGTCGTGCGAGACCATCCCCTCGCCGTTGTGCACCTGGGACAGCAAGCTGGTCAGACGGGGAGCTCTACGATGAACAACGTACGAACCTGGCCGTATTGACCGTTTGCAAACGATTCTCGAATGAGGTAGCGACCATGCATGGCTTGTTCACGGGGCGTGAGAAAGTTGAGTCCGCTCGACACAGAAGCAGACCGCCTAGTCAATGTCGCGCCTGGCGCGGCTTTTGCAGCAGCTTCGCACGTGCAGTTGAGAGCGCCGCACACTGGACATAGGTGGGCATCCAGCGACGACGAAAAGTCGCGAAGTTCTTGAACTGTGGGCAGACTCGATCGACCTCGAGTCAGATTCCCACCGTCAGGTGTGGACGTTCGGTGATGCGGAGACGTTGTAGACTGCCCTGACGACGTATACGAGTACAAATCGCCGCTGCTGCAAGCTCTTGACCGGCGTGACAACATCGTCGGACCAAGGAACGTACTCGGGTCAATGGCTTTCCGATGGCGCTGGCTGGTGATGACAAACTCGGCCGGTACACGGAAGAGCACCCCACCGACCAAGAGGTCCTTGTGGCTCACTTCCTCGGGCTTGCTAATGCTCCTTTTCATGCGCCGGGAGTCGTCGGCCGGACCAACGCGAGTTTGCGCCATGGGTCGGTAGTTTCGACAGATTTCGACTACACCTTCGACACTTCTGCATGACTTTGATGGCCCGATAAAAATAGATAGTCTACATTAAGTAAACACCACCTCCATTGTGCTCTGTGCGACTTACATTATGTGAAGCGTTCTATGTTCTCGAGCGACGATTGGTCGATTCGTTGTAGGCAGGTGCATACACTGTATAAATGAATACTTGTTTTATCCATTATAGAGGGTACATCATATGAAGCGCTCTCCTTTTTCGCGCGGTGATTGGCCAATTGTGTTGGAGCTCACTGTATAAATGCATACCAGCTGTATCAACCATGGAAGGAGGCGCATATCCGAGGCGACGGACGATGCTCACGATGCATGCAATGGCGGGCTATGGCAAGCACTAGAGACTGACATTCACGGTCCTGACGGGAAGCCTCGAGAAGAGAGCATATCGAAATGCATTGTCACCCAAGTGTTCCCTTTGTTTGTGCAAGTCTTGGTGATGGGTGCACTCCACTGCCTACCTCGTGCAGCTGTGTGTGTCCTCATCGCGCTCCTGATGTCTAAGAAGAGCGCATCCAGGGCCAAGGCAGTCGCAACCCGCATCCAAAGTGGTGGGTGTTCTCTGGCACCTGTCCCTCTACGACGCCCTCGCAAGAAGGGGGTGTCGTGTGACAAGACTGTAGTCACTTCGACATTTTCGAATTCGTCGATCGCACTAGATGTGAAGAGTTCATGTTCGAGCGTAGGGATCTTGGCGCTGGACAGATGTGGGCTACACGTTGGCAGCTCGTTGCCATCCAAGAAGAATTGATCACGCTTTTCGGCGGTGCAAAATTGAATGAAGGGGACGAGTCAGGTCTGACGTAAGTAAAGGACGAACACGTCGTCTGTCAGGGTTCGAAAGATGCGCATTTTCCCATGCGGTGAGTCCAGCACGTCGACGAGTGACAACTTGAGCGACTTGTATTCGGCGCAGTGTTCCCCGGCCGTGTACATTTGTGTTGTGATTGCCACTGCGAAGCATGACTTAATGGTGTTCAGCATCACGTCTCGACCGTGAGCCTAACGGCCTGCATTCAGTCGAGGAGGCGAGCCACGGTCGACCACGGCGCTTCACCCGCTCGGTCAGCTCTCGGACAACGCAGGTGTATTTCGATTGTACATCGGACGGCTGTTGTGCCTGGCGCCTTTCTTGTCGCGAGGTCGTGTCATGCATTGATCTTACAATCCCACGACATCACGAGCACGGGTTTGTCAATTCTATGGGACGAAGCACTGTTCCTGTGGTGACGACCCCCCTCGCCTGCATTCCAATTGCGAGGATGCAGCGCCACATGCGTTATCGCGGCGATGGATGTGGTTGCATGACCGAGGGTGGTGTCGGGTTCTATCTGCACGGCTACATGACCGAGGGAGCTCCGGCGTGGCTGCCGAGATGGACAAACCAAACGGGTGCGTTCCTAACAGCGCTGCGTCTGGGTTTCGGGGGTGTTTGGTCCGGAAGTAGGGCGAGATCAATTACATGGACATTCTGCACCTTTGAGGCGAGCCACGGCAAAGGCCACAGGAGTTTTTTAGGTACCCCATGAGTTGAGGAGCACCACGGAAGGCATGGGTTGTGGAATGAATGACTGTTGTCACTCCAAGAAGTGAATGAAAATCGCCCAGACTCTCGAGACCGAGGACGTGGGTAGGCTCCGTGGCCATCCCCCTGGTTATCCACGCACCCCCAGCCTCCTGTACACAACACGAGGGGGCGTAGAGGGCAGGAAACCACCCCATCAAACACTCGTTTCCCAAACACGCCGCCGGGTCAACTTACCACCCTCACCTTTTCGTGTGCCCCCATTGTGCACATATTCTCGCCAGAATCGAGGCGATGGAAGCGATCACGTCGACGAGACTCCGTGAAAACCATACCAGTGGGCTGTGCAAAGAGTTTGTGCGTCGACCTTGGAGACCAAGCTATCCCGACGTACTACACAGAGTCCGAACGTGAGTGTAGCCGGGGCTACGGGACGTTCGACACGAAGCATACACGTGGTGGTCGCTGTCCAATCTCGCGAGCCTCCCCCGCTTTCGAGTAACGCGTCTACGAAAGTCGCCACGGACGGGGGGGGGCAATGGACCATGCGAGGCTAGCAAAGCCACGAAAGAGCTCGGCCATGACAAACCCTCCCATTGTCACTCGAGCCACTCTACCAATTTCTTGGCACTTGTTCGAACCAGGGTGTTGGACTCCGCTTTCTGTAGCACGTCCAAGCCGAATATGCCTCCCATGGCCGCCAACTTTGTACCTGGAGCTGGTCTCGAGACGAGGCGCGACCTCCTCGATGTGGCAAGCACCACCCAGAGAGTTTCATGCTGTGTTCAGCGATTATCCGACGAGTGGATGGCTCGCAACAACGTAAACCAGAAACAAACGTTGCAACCCGCAGCCGGAACATCGCCGCAAGGGTCGCAAGGCAGTCCCCCTTCCCCCCTCGCCACTCCTCCATCGTGGTCCTCCAGTGGATAGTCCTAGCGGGCTCAAACGGGGCTGGCTGCAACTCACGTTGACATGGTATGGTACATGCTACGACTTGTCCATGACGTCACCTGCGACCACGCTCCCCACGTCGACCAGACGGGATAACATCATCCAGTGTATTCCACACGATTCCTTGTCCACCGCAGGCGCTCCTGACGGCCTGAGCGCCCGTGAGACGATGCTGGGGGCGGACCAGAGGCCGGCCGACACGACCGATTCTCGCTCAACAGTGCCGCCAACACACCCCGCCGCCAACATTGCTGCGAACGTTGCGCACCCAAGGTGTTGCTGAGCCACGAAGCGTAGCCGACGGACACGTTGGGTACATTTCACTGGGTACAGCGCGGTGGAGGGCAGGCGAGATTAGTCACACGACCTCGTCGATTCGAATCTTAGACGGGCGCCAAAGGTGTCGTCGCGCGGACAAGGCACTCCTCGCCACGCAGCACGGGGAGGCCAGAAGAGATGGTCGACAATGCACACCATCGTCGCAATCGCCACGACGACAACCCGTCGTCAGATATCCGTGACAAGACTATGATCGAAGCGTGCACATGGCACATGAGAACCCCGTGTGAGAAGGGCCGCGTCATGCCACCCTTGGATGAATCTGCAAAATATTTTGATGTACCCAGACGTGCGAATTCCCAGATCCAACCCAGATCATGGTGGCGGCAGCGACTGCGGCGAACCAGGCAGGCGGACGACGACGCCGCATATCGTACAGCAGAACGCTGCTTCTCGCATGCTCCAAGGCATGTCGAGCGATGGCCCAAGCACGTCGATTCATGCTCGCAGCACGACGACGACAGAGGGGGGTCGCCATACACATAGGCAGGAGGTGGTCGTCGTTCTGCCAGAACAACTGGACATGACACGCCAGCAACTCTCGACGCAGACGGAAGCGACATAAATAGTGAATAAGTTAAGGCGGAAGCATCGTGCTCGTCGCGCAGCGATGGAGGGTCGTGGTGCGTTTACATCCCGTCAAAGTTGACCTCGGTAAACACCCGTCGGCGGCCGGTCGACGGCATCGCGCCTCCGCTGAACACGTTCGACTGTTGAAACATTTGGCTGCTGCACGTTGTCGAGGTCGACGGCGAAATGGAAGGCGTCGCTGTCGACGACGCCTCGAGCACGCAGAACTTGCGCAGGACGGCGAGCGGAGGCGACGACGCAGGTAGCACGGACGCGCTCGAGTTGGTTGTGTCCAGCTTGGTCACTTTGACAGGATAGCTGTGCGACCCACCAAACTTGGACCCGTTCACGACGAGGCAGTCGGGTTGTTGTTGGTTGTGTGTGAGCAGGAGCGATGGGAGGCTAAGTTGGCGCTTGAGACCGACGCGGCCAGCCGCGTCGTCCCGCCACTCGAGGAACGCTTTCAGGACCGCGTCGACACGTGGTCGGAGGAGGCACGCATCGGCGTGGTCGGACGTTGGGTGAACCATGTCGACGATCTTCAGGAGGAACTTGTTGAGGTTCTCGAGCTTGTCTGTGTTGCGGGCATCTAGCAGCGGCGACAGCGACGCCACCGCGCATCGAATGCTGCACTCTTGAGCGCATGACATCTTGGCCGTGGCATCGACGACGGCTTGAAACATCTGGACAAAGTCGCCATGGCACTTGTACGTGTACCAGAGCGTCGCCGGCAGCTTGTGCTCGACTTTGACACAGACAACGTACTTTTCTCGATGTGGCGCGGCCGCGCCAATGCACGATGTGACGGATGCGAGGAGGTGGTGTGGATTTGTCGACAGGCCCATGCACAACTTGCAAATGTGGCACGGTGGAACGGCGTGGACGGTAAGATGCGTGGCAGATGCGTCGGTCGGGCAGAGAACTCGCTCGACGGGACCACGTGTGCGACGTGTGCTGCGGCAGAACGGGCCGATTTCGAAATGGCGGGCAAGCGTGAACGAGTCGGCGTGCCACATGGCTAGAGACTGCTACTGGACACCATAGAACGCGCCAGTCTGTCGACGCCTGAGTCGGTTGGCACCAGCCAAATTCCACTGTGGTCGCCGTGTGCGTCGTGATTGGCGCCATCCATTCCCCAGCCCAGTCACGCTGCAACAGATGGCGATGGCCGAGCGTAGTCGCGACGGAGGGTGGATGGCACGTCGACGATGTGGCCAGTCCAGGCCCACCCGCGTTGCCTTGACGCCTGGACCGTGTCGACGGTCGACTTGACATAAGGTCGGACTCGGTCACGCCCTCTTCGCCGAGCGCGCTGATTTCGCGAGCGGCATTCAACCGCGCCACACTCCAGCTGCTGCGTCCTTTTTTAGCACCACACACAGCGCCACGATCGTCGCGTTGAGTACATTCAACTGAATGGGACGAGATATGTAATGGCGTGCCGCTATTGTCGGGAATGTCGCCGCTGTCGACCCCGTGCCGCCCGCGGTGGACTGCCAGAGGCGCATCGGCGGGTATCCCAAACCCCACGAAGTCATCCCGTACCACCCGATTTCACTTGAAGTTTGTATAGGCCATGTGAAACGCCCACTTTGGTTGGTATCCGGATATGGTATCCAAACAAGACCCTGCGGCGCAGGCGGGTGGCACGCATCTTCCAGCCGCGTCGTCGCGGTGTGTGGAGCGCTCGGTGCGCAGTCGAAGGTGGCGTCCACTCCAGAGAGGTATATGGGCCAAGCCCTCTGTGTGAAAGTAGCTGCGCTGAGTGACATGAGTTTGCTGCCGAGTACACAGCCCTCGAGTTCCAGGTAATGGGCGTCCCACTCGTCTCGCCCACGCCTTGATTGGATCGCGGTGACTGGTGCAGTCGATGGCGCACGCATCGCGAATGAGTTATCCGCCACGGCATCGCACACAAGTGTCGCATTGCGAGGGAGAGGGCATGCGTCTTCAACCAAAGCGGCACCCTCGACTGGTCGGCCAAGTCGAATTCCTTCTCCGCCTATTGCTGATTCTTGGGACACCACTGCTTGGTCGCTCGATCAAGGATGCGTAGGGCTCCGTGGGGACCGGAGCGACTTCACGTCGTCCAGGGCATGGTGGTGGCCCGCGAGAGCCAGCATCCCATCGCCAATGTGACCATGTCACGAGTGACGACCGTGGCCCTCCGCTTCTTGACAGCCCGAGTATCTCTCGTTCCGTGTACTTACAGTGGCGCGCGCCAACAGCATGCGGGCGCATCTTGCGACCCCCACAGGTACTTCCCGTTCCCCTTGCTGTGCTTCCACCGCTATGGAGCAGCTCCCCCTCGACAATCAGGTAACTAGTCGGGGGTTCGGGGGGCAGAACGTTGACGACAGTTGCCATCTTGCCACGCGAACAGCCGCGGGATAGATCGTTCCAGATGATCGACTGGAACGGCTAGTGATCGGATGGGACGTCGACCTCGACGCCTCGACGACGTGTTCAGGTTTGGTTGCCCTGCCCTAGGGGTAGATAGCTGCGACGAATCGAACCATACGAGAGAGCCGAGATTGTCGACTCGGGGGCAAGCAGCACAGCTCATCGACGTCCCCGTCAACTTCGCTGTAGCACGAACTTCATCGCCGCCCCTCGCTGCCCACGATTGGGGAAAGTGCCGATTCCAGCGACGTGAGATACCTAATCTAGATAGCCATGTGCCGAAAGGTGAAGGAAAATGCCGACACGGCTACATGTGACCTTGATCACGCAACGTCAAGCGCATTCATGCAAGCCTCCCAAGGTCGCTTTGGTACACACCAAGCACGTATGCAGCTTTCACCAACGATTCATGAGTGCTGAATACTCTCAAACCACGCGCAACGTGCCTGCTGGCTGCCTGGAGTGTCGTTTTGCCGACGAGAATAGATGTATTCTTGCCATATTTTTGATATCGACAAAAATCACGGATAGTTGAAGATATCCGGATCCAGACTCGAGTCGCCGGATAACACGAATGGATTGTGTCGGAGGAATTGCGGTGCCAGTGCAGCTAACCCAAGATGGAAGGAGGGTATCACACGCAATCTGCGGACGAAGACGTTGAGCTCGTCCATGAAGAGCAGCCAACGCTACCTTGTATGCAACGTATCTTCGTCGTTCTTCGCCCAGACTGGCAGCGCACAGCCAAGCAGTACTTGACGTTGCAAGAGTGCTCAGGGTCTCTCGGCGACCTTGGCACGTTCCTGCCCCTCGTGACGGCGCTGTCCGTGACCAAGCAGATCGCGTTCGGGCCAACGCTGTTCTTTGCAGGTAAGACCGGACAACCATGGCCTCATCGATGGTCGTCGCTCATGGCGTCGACACTGCAGGTTTGTACACAATGATGCTGTCCACGTACTTTGACGTGCCGATTCCAGTGCAGCCGATGAAAACTATCAGCGCAATTGCCATTACGGAAAAATACTCCCAAGCTGAGATCGCTGCGTCCGGACTCCTCATCGGCGCCATCTTGTTTGTGCTGGCCATCACGAATGCGATGACGGTTGTGGCCAAGCGGGTGCCTTTCTCGTTGGTGCGAGGCGTGCAGCTCGGCGTTGGTCTGTCGCTCATGATGAGCGGCGTCAAGCAAGCTTACGTTCGTGTGGCGACGGTCTCTTTGAACAACATCACGATGGCCCTGGACGTCAAGCGCAGCGCCACAACTTTGTCGTGGTGGGGCTGGGACAGCATTGCCGCGTCGATTGTCATGGTACTCTTCTGTTTGGGCTGTATGCACAACAAAAGAGTGCCCACTGCCCTCGTCATCTTTGTCTACGGTGTCGTCATTGCGGCCGTGCGATATAACGCCGAGAAAGCACGGCTCCAGCTGCCGTCGCTGCAATGGGGTCCCGACTTTGTCCACTTGCCGTCGTGGCCGACCGCCGCAGACTTTCAAAACGGATTTGTGCACATGGTGTTGCCGCAGCTCCCGTTGACACTTCTCAACAGCGTGATCGCGCTGGAGCAACTTGCGGCCGACCTGTTTCCAACCAAGCGGTGCCCCGTGGCGTCGTCCAAGCGAATTTGTTTCAGCGTCGGCATCGGCGACATGCTCTTCAGTGGGTTTGGAATGCTGCCCATGTGCCACGGGGCAGGGGGGCTGGCGTCGCAGTATGCCTTTGGCGCCCGAAGCAACGTTGCCATGATGTTTCTCGGGCTGGTCAAGGTTGTGGTAGCTCTCGCACTCGGCACGACCCTCGTGCAGCTCCTCCAAGACGGGATCTTCCCGAGTTGCGTCATCGGGGTGCTTGTCATGTTTGCTGGCGTCCATCTCTCGGTCGTCGGCCTCGACGTGGACGCGCAAAAGAATAAGGGCGACGCCGTCGTGCTCCTTGTGACGGCCGCCGCGTCCCTTGCGATCGACACGGGCGTGGGGTTTTTAGTCGGGGCCGCCACGTACGCCATGTTGCGGTACGTCGTCAACGACGCTGCGACGTACCGAATGCACACGCACCACTGACCTCGACGACTCGCATGACGTGGCACCGACGATAGTCGTCGTTAACATGGAGAATTTACGTCTTGCCGAGTCGCCGTGCGCTCGAGTGTGTTTGCTTTGTCGTGCTATGCACCCATGTGAAGAGCTGCTCCTCCAGTCGACGCGGCCCCAATCATAAATATTATTTACCAAAAATTGCTTTTAATATTAAATTTAGAAAAATTTAATATTACTTAAAATAAATAAACAAAAAATTATATTTAGAAATATATAATAGAAAATTATTGTTCTCGCGTGTCTTGCTCCGTCGAAATGGACAAGGAGTGACCACAAATGGCACCCCCACAGGCGAGGAAACGTGGAGCGGGTGCCGCTAGCTGCACGTGCTCTATGGTAAGCTTCGTGCGACTGTCGCGGGGTAACGATAGCGTTCCAACGACGTCAGCCACGTTTGGCGAGTGCGAGCCCTCGGGCTGTGTTAACCCCGGCCTAGCTCGTCGGCGCTGCAGACGATCGTCGCCACGTGGAACGTGCGAAGCCTTGACGAATCAAGAAGTTCCGAAAAGCCACACGGTCGGCCATGCCGCGAACGTATGGACTGCTGCTCGACTAAAGGTGCCACCGTGAACCCAGATGCGAGCCACAGCGGTCGATTTTGCCATGCGTGGCGCGCTTGGGTGCGTCTCGGTAGTAGTGTGGGGGGATGGCGACCTTGGCTGGCGTCGTGGCAGCTCTTCCACGTCAGTCAGACTTCGACGGGTTGGCAAGGCCAAATCCATGTGGCCACGCCAAACGGACGATTCGGATCGATGGGACGCTGCACGACTGCAGCAACGGAGACGTGTTCTCTTGCCAGCTTTGACCGCTCCAACGATGCGCCGCCGGACGTGTGGCGCGTTGCTGGCACAAGCCCCACTGGTCGACAAAAGCCACTCGCCTCCAACGACACTACTGCGTTTAGTCATGCAAGTGGGACATCGAGGGGCTGGACCAGAGACGCGCGCCATGCCATGGGTATGGGTTCAGCGCGATTCCCACGTGACGTTGAACTTGCATCCAAATTCCGAGCGGGGCTGCAGCGGGACGCGTCGTAGACCTGGTCGGGGTGCATGGCACGTCCGCGGTTTCGATCGAGCACGCACCAGCCGCCGTGCGCTACCTTTCCTGGGTTGTCCCATCGGCGAAGCCATCCTCCTCGCGCGTCAGCTGCGATCGCCCCTTCAGTCCAAAGGCACTGCCAGGAGCGCTGTTTCCAAATCGACGCCCTCGGACTAGCTCGTACATTTGTACACCGGCGTCATCGCCGCCGGCCCGATGTCGTGTTCTTGGCGCGAGCGACGTCGCGTGGCGGGTGTTGCCGTGGTGCCCTGTCGGTGCGATGTGTGCTGGTCGTGGCAACCCGCGGCGGTTTACCATGGTCGGAGGAGGAGGGGGGGAGTCGACTCGGCATCGCCTGCTCTATTCCGGGTGTACGACGACGAGGAGCAGCAATACGTTTCGTTCTACCAACGTGATCAACTACAGCGCCGCAACCCACGCCAGGACGGCAACGACCCAGTGCCAGGCGTTCCAAGCCGCGGCGGCACCGGACCGGTTCTCCCATCGAACTGTTTGACACAGCGACGTGGACGGATCGGCGCAGTTGGTCGTGGGTTTGAAATGCACGACGTACGACCCGGACGGAGCGGTTTTCCGCAGCCCCGTGCCAAACTCGTTGTGGTAGAAACCCCAATCCGACGGGGTGATGTCAAAGCGGACGACCGTTGACTCGCCGGGGGCGAGCCAAATCTTGGCAAACCTTTTCAGCAGTCGCGTTTCCGTTTCATTGTGCAGCGACGGCGGCGGCGACACAAACAGCATCACGACCTCCTTCCCCGCGACCCGCCCCGTATTTGTCACGACCACAGATGCCGTGACGACGACGGCCGCCGCGTCCGACGTCAGCGTCGTCGGCGTCACTTGCATGTTGGTGTAGTCGAACGTGGTGTAGCTCAGCCCGGCGCCAAACGGGTATTCCGTCGCGCAGTCGGTCGAAAACTCTTTCCCGCCCCGGACACACGCGGTGCTACCGACATCGTTGGATCGATAATAGTACGGCGTCGCCAAGTTGACGTGGCCATCCGTCTTGGGGTACGTGAAAGGGAGCTTGGCACTAGGGTTGACGCGGCCGAAGAGGACGTCGGCAATCGCTTGGCCGCCGGCTTCGCACGGCAAGCCTGCCCAAAGGACAGCATGGCAAAGTTCTGCCAGGCCGTTTAAAATGCGCGGACGGCCCGCAACCACCACGAGGATGATGCGCGTCTTGGTGGTAGCCAACGCCTTGACGTACGTCACGAAGGCAGGCGGCAGGGCCTGCGGGTCGCTGTTGCCAAACTGTTCGGCGTAATTCCTTTCGCCCAGCGCGACTATCGTATGTGTGGCCGTGCTGGCCAACGCGATGGCTTCCTGGAGCGATTCGTTCGAGGTGAAGTTGCCGTAAATGTCCATGGCTTGCAGGAACGTCACGTTGACGTGGTCGAGTCGGGGGATGCCGTTCTCGTTGGCAGCGATGGTGTCTGTCGAAGCCGCGGTCAAATTCCAAGCACGCACGGTCGCGTTGATGGCGTGGCGGATGGACTGGCCATGCGGAAACGCGGCATTGCCGTCGATGCCTTGCCACGCGAGGGACCAGCCACCGCATTGGAGCCCAATGTTGTCGATCGACGGCCCTGTAAGAAATAGACTCATTGTGTGGTTGGTGGTCGTTGTAGTCGGTGGGCGTCCCAACGGCAGCACGTGATCGTCGTTCTTGAGAAGGACAATGGATTCCTGCGCCACGACGATGGCAGCGGCGCGACTGGCGTTGTCGCCAACCAAGTCGACGAGGTCGGCGCCTGGAAGCGGGTTCTCAAACAAGTTGAGGACAAACTTGAGCGTCAAAATTCGACTCACCGCCTGCTCGAGCCGTGCTCGGGCCAACCGACCGGTGCTGACAAGTTGGCGGCCATACTTGATGAAGCTCATGTCGTGAGGAGTCATCACCATGTCGTACGTCGTTCGGTTCATTCCAACCGCAGTCGCTTCGAGTTCCGACGGGACGAGTTTGCGAGGATCGTGCAGCAGATACATCTCGCCCCAGTCGGTGACCATAAGTCCCGAGAAGTTCAAGTCTCGGCGGAGCAGCAAGTTGGACGTGACGTTGTTGGCCGCCATGGGGACGCCGTTCAAGCCGACGTACGTGCCCATCCCAGACAGCACGCCTGCTTCGATCGCAGCTTTGAATGGCGGCACAAAATAGTTGAGCACTTGGTGCTTCGACAGCACCACATCCGTGCGATCGTTGCCGTCCGTCGGGTCGGAATATCCGATGAAGTGCTTGAAGCATGCAGCCACGCCCTGGCTTTGCATCCCGGCGATGTAGGCGCGGCCTAGCTCGGACACCGCGACAATGTCCTCGTTGTAGCTCTCGTACATGCGCGGCCAGTGTTTGTGACGAATGACCTCCAGCATTGGGCTGTACACCCACGGCATCCCACCGGCGAGGGTGTCGCGGCCAGTGTACATGCCGACGGCGCCAGCCAGCTCGACGTTGAACGTGGCGCCAGTGTTGATGGGCTGTGGAAACAAGGTTGCGTTCGCAATGTAGTTGGCGCCGTGGGTCGAGTCAAATCCGTACAAAATGGGGATTCTCGTGCTGCTGCGGTTCACGTGTGCATCTTGCAGCGTCGCGACGAGCGCGCGATACTGCGACGCATTCCACAGCGGCCGGCCCCACTCGGCGAGATTCGGCACCAAGTTGAGGTACGCGCCGACGTTGTGCTTGGCGTAGTCTTCGACAAGCGACGAGTTGATGGTTTTTTGGCCGTCGTTGTCCCAATCGTCGTACGTGAACGCGCCGACTTCGATTTGATTCATTTGGCCGAGGAGGTCGGCGATCGTCTGCACATGATCGGACGCTGAGGACACGAATGATCCCGTGGCACGCGTACCATGCTCGACGCCATTGCCTTGGCCTTGGCAGTCGCAACGCCGATATCGACGAACGCAGGATGGCCCAACACGGCCAGCGCTCCCATGCTCGCGCCAACCAGCACGCGCATGGTGCAAGTGCTGATATTGAAAATTCGGACCAGTTTGAACCGGGTCGGCGTGCAAGTGTCCAGCGAAGTGGCATGTGAGAGTGGCCAGGGCCACGATGGAGAGTGGCTTCGATACACACCACGCTAAAGACTCCGCTGTGACCTCTTCCAACAACGGTAGCTTCTGTTGCCTTGTGGACTCATGTACAACCATGCACAATCTCCGCGGCGGCGGGGGTCGTCGCGCGACCTCAGTGCCATGCGCACGAGCTAGGCTGTGAGGAGTGCAATGCCCAAAGTGAGTGGTCGTTCATGACCCTCACAACGGGGGCTCGAATATCTCCATGACTAGCAAGCAGATCGACAGGCGAGGACTACGGCCCGTCCAGCACACAAGATAAAGCAATCGGCAAGCGATCGCGATGACACCGTGCATGATCGCAGGCTATCGAACGTGCCCTCCACCTGGCAAACGTAAGTGTCACAGCTCGCCCGTGTTGTTGAGTGCCCGGGTGGCTGCTTGGTGTCGTCAGCGCCGTGGAGGTGCCACCCGCGGCATCTTGCATCCACGCTAGAAAGATAGGCAGTTGATGCGGCATTCCATTGGCGTTATTGCGGTCTCTAGGCCCCCTGCGCCAAGTGCGGCCAAGAACTCGTATTGAGATAGCAACCATGCGATCACGCGAAAAGAGTTGGGTGCTCTCGCTTTCTTGCTGGAACCAAGGACGAGATCAGTTGGAGCTGACTTGGAAGGGTTTGCACCCCCCTCGTCTTGGCGTTTGCTTGGGATGCGACACCAGTGGAAGGGTCAGCCATGGAGATGGGGATGCATTCCACACGGGAGTTGACGCCACAACCGGCAGGACCGCGAAGTTGTGTACATTTCAACGCCGCTCAAACCACGGATTGGGGAGGCAGCGTCGGTGTCTCCATGGAGGATAGATTCGTTTCCATAGGCGTCATGACCGTCGCCCGCATCGTGTCGGTCGGCGAGTCGTCGAGGTCGAAATTGCTCCCGCACGAGCTCGAGTCGGTGTCGCAGTTGGACGGCGTGGGGGCAGGCCAGCACCGACGGTGGAACCAGCACGCCGCGACGGACAGGATGAAAAACCCACCCGCGACGTAAAACAACGCGCCCGTGTCGTATTTCGTGGCGCCTTCACCGGCTGCCACGCTCGTCAGGCACATCAACACGAGCGTTAACGCGACGACAGGACAACGAGGCATTGGGCGAATTGAAGAATGAGCTGTCCCCAACCCACCACATGACCACTGGTTTTCCTTGCCTTGATTTGGTTCAACGTGGGGATGCGACTAGTTTATGCAGCGAGCGCCCCATGTGCTGGCGTTCTGGAGTCCTGTGGGTCGTCTCGACGTAAACGACCTAGGAAAGCCGACCTGCCGTGGGTGAAGCCCAAGATCTGGTCGTGCGCCGAAAGCCCCCATCATCCAGGAAAGTTGGCCTGGGGGTGACGACGCTTCTTGAACGTTTGTGGAGCAGGCGCCATAGCTTGGCTGTGCATTCGCATCCACGTTCCCAGGTATTCTGGACCGAGGGGCGTGTGGGCTGCGCATGTGGAAGGCGGCGACTTGCCGGCAAGAAGAGAACGGCCCATCGTGTCTTTGCACAGACCCTTCCGCGGTAAAACCTACGGCAATTTGAAGTTCATTGTTGACAGTGGAGGTTCGTACACAGACACACGCCCACAATGCACTTTGTGTTTCAAATTCGAGGACCGCTGTGCAATGCCTCGTGCACCATCGACAGGAAGCTCTTGTTGTGCCCTCCTCCTTCGACGAGGGTGTGTGCTGGAGCTAGATTGCCCTTCTTCCTGCCACTGGTGTGATGCCGACGACGTATGGGACGCCTTCAAGCCCCCCCCCGCCCCATTCCAAACAAATCGATGTTGACGCAGCTGGAATAGATCGCTCACCATCTCGAGCCAATGTTCGGCGCATTCTCTGACCGATGGCATGTGCACATGCACAGTTTTCGAACACGGCAGGGGCCACACAATGTTTGGTTGGCGGAATCACACGTCTAGACATTAGAGGTTGCAGCGGGCCCATCCTGACTAAACGTGTGGATGACGCATGGCTGGCTTGGCGTATGGGGGTGATGCATGGAGGCGCTCCGCCCACCCAACCACCAGCGCCACGGATACACAGGAGAATGCCACAGACCAAGTCGGTGTGCAGCCGTGAACATTCCATTGAGCTCTCATCATAGCTGTCGAAGCCTGGGCGCGAGTCCTCGTATTTACGTCACGATCGAATTCGTGGTCGGCGATGCTAGCCGTTGCGGCGCGAGGGGCAAGTCATCGTACGCCGAGCAATGGGAGAATCGGATCGCCACCAACGCAAAGAAAACGCCGCATAAGGCAAGGAGCATGTACAGCGGCGTCGAGTCTACTCAAGGGCAGATGAGGAACAGCGACCCCAGCCATAGCAACAAAAGTACAATTTGTCGTCCTGGGAACGTTGTAGCCAGGAAGGGTCGAGTCCAATCGATCGAAAACACACACAACCGCGTTGTATACGAGAGTCGGACGGGAGCCATGGGCGCACTCGATGGTGCGACGGGTGGCGTTGCCAACAGGGAGGCGCAGGGTTAATTTTGCTTGGGTCACGAGCTCCAGAGTCGAGTTGTCCATAGTGAGGGCCAAGAGCGGGTTGTCGGTGAGGTCTCTGTGGCAACAGAGCGCAATAAATCCTGTCCAAGAACCTCGAATGGCATCGACGTACAAGTAGGAAAGTCGTGGCGGTAGAGTCTTCGTGTTGAGGTCCATCTGCTGGAGATTATTCCCGCGCAAATACCTGGACAAATGACGTCGATGGCGCACGCACACGAGGATGGGTCAAAGCGAGCAACGTACAAGGCCGTGAGGTACTGGTGTGGTGTCTGCCAAGACCATCCAGCTAAGAAGTTGTAGCTCAAGTCCCTGGGAGTCTTGTTAGGTCCTGCAGGGACGTGCAAGTTCCACGAGCGTACAGAACGACGACCGAGTCTGGCATGGCTAAGGCGCTCGTCGACTTGATGGCGTTCTGGCTCAAGTTCCTGTAGCACGTCACGACCCATCGAGACATGAGAAGAAGCGTACAGGTGGCGAATCGTGGCGTTGGATGCAGGCAGCGCTTCGATCATGTTGGCGGACAAGTCTCTGCTCACGACCAAATCAAGTGAAGGATGCGTTGAATCGACGTACACGACGTCGCCAGTGCATGGGAGTTCGAAGACGTCGTGGATATGTTGGCCAGAAAAGTCCCACACAGAGTCGCGGGTCGGCAAGATCCTGTGCGACTCGTTCAAGCTGTTTGTGACGCACAACTCTTGCTCCCGACCTGCCACGACGACTTCATCGATCGCGGTCTCATCGACGGGACATGCTTGAAGCGTCGCGGCCGACACCATTGCCACGCTGCCGGCGATCCATGTCGCGGCTCGCAACATGTTCGCTGCCCCAATCTTTTGCAACCGTCAAGAAACTGTCACTGGGTCACGTGAGGATAAACGCACCGCCACGCTACCGGCGGCAACGCCCCAGGCCAAACGAGCATCGCGAGCATATGAGGCGTGACCCACGAGGGTGCAGCCGCACGAGACGACTCTCCGTGAGCTGGTGGGCGGTCTGGGAAAGTGCCATGTGGTAGCCGCCGCACAAGATCGCCAGCAAAATCACCCTGTTGACCAGATTTTGATGGTCAAGAGCACATAGTCGCTTCTTTGCTGCTCCCGATAAGGCGTCTCGGGCGATCGAACCCTGCCAAAGTGACCCAGAGCCCCAGCGTTGAACAGACTACATGGGTGAACCATTCCTGGTATTTATCACAGGACACAAATGCACTCGCTTCGTCCCACGACTCGAGCTTGCGCTCGTGACGCCACGTGGGGAATCATCTAACGCCTACAGTAGTTGGACACACGCACACAAAAATCTGCTCTCATGACTGTGTTCACGTACGCCATCAAGCCATGTGTGCGCCGTGGGCTCGCACTGCTTGGCCAACTGCTGCATTTTCAAAAAAAAATATCGCACGACACCGTAATAAGCACCGCGCCCCAATTGCGACGTCTGTAGTGGAGGACATCTTTGCCGTGGTCATGAGAAATGGCCTTGTCCCAAGTGAAACTGGATTTGATCCGAGATCAGCCAGTGGATGCACTCGATGTGAGCTCAACGGCGCCACCACGGAAATACGTTAGTCCTCTCTCACCTATTCCTCCACCACGCCAAGATCAGCGACACCGACCTGTAGAGCAGACCGTGCGCCATGTCGCTGGGACAGTGACGTGTCCCGCGGTTGCTGCCGCTATGGACAACTGCACGTCATCACACCTCGCACTATCCTGGCAAGTAGCAGCGGCATTGGAGTTTCTCCAATGCAACGAACGTAGCATGGTCGAGGCAACCAGTGCTAGCCGTCTCCATGAGCGCCCCCTTCCCTCATCCTGATGTGGCAAGTGCACCTTGATTCGGAACCCAATGTCGCATGGGACATGTGCGTCGAAACTTTTCACGTCTCCGTCCACGTGTCCATGCCGCACGATGAGGTTGCATGCAGCTGGACGTTGCCGACACGAACCCGCCAGACTTGTTGGACCAGTCGCATGCGCCATGAACCACGGCGAAGTCTCCGGAACTTTCCGTCCGACGCACCTACATCGTCGAGTTCAAATGGCTGGCACGGTGCCGTGCCCAATCAAATGGCCGGCCTCGAGTAAACATACCATCACAAACCACATTGCGCAGCAACGCAACGACGACGAATGCGCTTCCTTGTCGTCGTTGCGATGGCCGCCGCGACTGCCGCCGGCATGACGTTCACGCTCGTGTCATGCTCTCCCACAACGACAATCCCGGTCAACGTCCGGCCGTCGTCCGTGGCGTGCCTGCAATCGCCCAACGGCACGGTCCACCTGATCGTGGCGAATGGAACGCACCTCGACTTGAGCAACCAAAACATCACGGGGGTGTCGGCCGCGCCGCGGGACGTCACGTCCATGTACGTCGGGCAACTCGATCGATTCGTTGTGACGTTTTGTCTTTAGCGACTTGTCGTCCAACAACCTGGGCTACGTGTCACTTGGCGACTCGGTGCTCGAGACCATGTACGTCGCACGCGGCCGCTTCTGACGTCTCATGGCGCACGTAGCAACTTATCGGACAGCCAAATCGCATCGCTCACGTCGGTCATGCTACCCGCGACAGTCGAGACCTTGTATGGTCGAGAGATGCGCTATGACACGGACAACTCACCTCTCTCATGAATCCAGGGACGTCAGCCGCAACGCCATCACCGAGTTCAGCGTCAATTGGGCGATTCTACCCAAGCTCGCGTCCATGTACGTCCAGAGCGACGACGTCGTTCCCTGGTTTACCCTGGGCTCCGATAGCAACGTGAGCTCGAACCTCCTCGCGCGCATCAACAAGCCCATCTTCCCGCCGTCCCTTCACACCCTGTACGTTCAAACCGTGACAACTTGTGCGATTTCACAAGGGTGGGGGCTGTAGCGACCTCTCCAAGAACTTGTTGTACGCGGTTGACCTGAGCGTCGCCACGTACACACAGCTGTCGTCGGCCACCGTCACGTACGCACTGGAACCGCAGATGGCGCGAGTGCTCGCTTCCAATTGCCGGGACATTGGGGAGCTTCGTCGCCTCGGGCCAAGCGTCACGGGGCTCGTCTGTGTGTTTGACGGGGATCGCCGCGACATGCAAAACGACATGTTTGGTATGGACTTGCGCGATGTCGGGAGTCCATGGTGACGTTTTGTGTAGTGGCCCTTCGTCGGCTAACTATATTGTCGCTCCTCCTCTCGGGGGCGCTCATTCTCGGGTATGCCGCGCTGCACTGGCACCGCAGCAGGAGGGCCAACGACGACGACGACGACTTGGCAATGAGGGGCCGCGAGACGTTGACGAGCTCGGCGTGCGAGGCATACGACCACCTACCAATTCAGTACCGACAATCGCTAACCCCCGTCGCCGCCCCGCAGCCCGCGACCCCTACCCATCCGCCCCGAACCAACTGATGGCGCGAAAGGAGTGCGGTCCCGAATCATTTCATGCCTTTCTTTGGTTCACGTTGAGTCCTTGCCCCTTTAAATAAACTCATCACCATTGCCTTCACTTCACACATTTGTGCTTTGCGTAACTTCCCCATGGGCATGGCCCAGAGGAATGCCAGTGATGATCGTGATTCGTTCGAAATCAACCAATCCGTGCATGGCCGCCACCCAGATCAAGACCCGACGACAGTGGCGTTCTCTGCCTGTCAACGATGGTGCTGCGCTCATGAACTTGCGTGCTAGCGGTGGCGATCTCTCGTGTAGTTGCCGCTCAGGCAGAGGTTACGCCAGGCGACAAGGCGACGTCGGCAATGCATGTCGTCCTGACAGTGTTCCTGGGCGTGTTTGCCCTCGTGACGGCAGTGTTTTTTGCCCAAGCGTGGTTGTGCAGGCCGCCACGACAGGACGAGCGCGATGAACTCGACACTGTCGTCAGCTCGAGCTTTAGTTATCATAGAGCATCCCACGAAGTACAGTCTCCTCCAGTGTAACAAGTTGCTCCTGTCGTGCTCTGGCGTCATGGCCCTCTGTCCGTGTCGATCCCGATGTTGGCGAGCATGATGCCGCACTTGTTTCGTCTCCATGCATCGGCACTGTGCAATTCGTCCGACACCAGATCAACTTGACTTGGTCGATGAGGCAAAGCCACCATGCCCACGCCAAGCACGCCAGGCAACATCACAGAAGGCGTGATTTTTGGCACCTTGAAGTCCTAGCGTCGAGCGTCTAGATCGTCCATGATGCTGACCTCCCTGCAGCATCACAGCGTCGCGGGTTCCATAAAGACGAGAGTTCATTCTGCTCGGGTCGCCTTGCATGTGCCGGGACTGGTCAGACAATGGAAAAATTCGAAAGATGCCCAACGTCCTGGCCGCCCCATCGGCGCCGCAACCACCAGGATGAGTCGAGACAGCGTTCTCGAGGCCCACCCGTGCGACGGGCAACCTTTTTTTTGGCTTTCTAGGGTTTTCTCCCAAAGAACCTGATGGGTGAGTCCACCAGCCGGTCCATTCCACACTTAAGTCAATGAATCGTGGCCACGATTCGACACTGCTTTTGGAACCTCTCTCGCCAGAGTCCTCCCGACTCGCTGCAACACCAGGGAGGCACATCCCAATATCCTAGAAAGCTGAACGGGTATATCAAACGTTCTGTCCTTTCGGGAACGACAGGTGCCAAGGTCTTGCGCTCACATTCGACGGGCGTCGCGGGAGTTCTCGATTATAGGGAGTACAGTCGTCCTGTATCGCGCCACGAGAAAGATACCATAACTATGGCCTGTCTCATTCGCAGGATGCACAGTCGCACGTGGAGTCCATGCGCAAGCCGTGCAGCTTGAACACGGCCATCACGTGCGGTGAAGGCGCAAGCGAGGTTGCTTGGTCGGTGGTCGAGGTGTCGCATTCGCAAGTTCGTGCACGACATTTACCCGATGCGTTTTATCCATGCCAATCAAACTTGAACCAATCGAAAGCGAGAATGGGTCGTAAAACCCATTTCGGCAAAGATCTGACGTGACAACCGGCAACTCGGCCATTTGGAATTGGCGATGCAAGTCGTCCAAGTCGTCGCCATCGGGTTGACGACTCTCGAGGCCGTGATGGCTCAGTTCAGCAAGGCCAACTCGAGCAATGTTCTGCTCGCAGTATGTCCACAGTACACTACCCCCAACAGCTCGGCAGTGTGCTTGCGCAACTCTGCCACCGGTGCCATTTCAGTCGTCCACCAAGACGACCCGGCCAGCCTTCGTTTGTCCGACCAGAACATCTCGTCCATTGAGGGAATCCCAGCAATGCCGCACATCATGTAGACCTCCTGCCGTGTGTGTGCCTTTCTATAACGGATGTCGTAGAGACCTTTCGTTGAACCGCATCCGATCCATCAACATCCACGTGGCGCCGCACGCCGCAGCAAAAGTCATGTCGTTGTATGTGGCTCGCTCTTCACGATGCATGTACTATTGACGCTTTGCGAGCTAGAAAGCTCCGCAACAACTCGATCACGGCGTCGGGATTAGTTAGTCTGCCGCCGTCAATCAACTACCTGTACGTGGTTTGGCATCTCCTCAACTTTTTCGTCACGTCCACCGCCGAAGGGATTTGAGCAACAATGCCATCGATCGCATGCAGCAAACCACGACGTTCAATTGGACTCGGCTGCCCGCGCTCGCGACCTTGTGCGTGCCGACCACACAACGGGCGACTCACCCATGACCGCTTTTAGGATTCTCACCGGAAACAACATGACCGCCATCGATCGACCATCGTTTCCACAGTCACTGGCAGTTTTGTACGGCCTCCAGCCCCACAGAACCTCCTTCCATCGCATCGAGACGCCTCATGCCTTGTCGTGCACGATATTGTAGGGACCTGACCGACAACGATATCGCGCGATTTCATGTGGACGCTGCAACATGGACCCAACTCACTCGACCAGGATTTCAACTGTTCTTGAATATGTCGCGGGATGCCATGGCCAGAGTACCCGTGTGGTGCTCGAACTCGACGTCCGTCACCTCGCGGGTCGTCACGAACAATGTGAATGCGGTGGTGTGCATCGTTCACTCGAAAGAAAACAGCACAAGAGGTTGGGTTGCCCATACTTGGCGATGCGATGGATCTGACAGGATGCTAGGGCCCGCGACTCCATCGTCATCGTTCTCGTCGGGGTTTTCTGTTATGACGCTTGTTCTCAATGTCGTCATTGGTCTGGCAGTCATGTTCTTGGCGTCCTTTGTGGGAGTCAAACTCATGGAGCGGCAAATGACGCACGTCCATTCCCTCGAAACAAATCGTGATACGTGCACAAGTTCTACCGCGGACGACGCACACCCAATGCAATACCGTCGCTCGCTGTCCCCGCGATTTTACCAAACCGAGTAACTTCAGAGTTGTTTTGCACTTCCACCAGCACACCTCTCGTCATGGCGTGAGCTGTGCCACGTGTTCTCGTTCGAAGCCGTCTCAAGGAGACGCCCTGTTGATCAAAACCACTCTCGAGTGCATCCCACGAGAGCGCCGTCGAAAGGCTTTCTCGCCACGTTGACGAGAGCTGTTGCGCACCGTGCAGACCGGCGGTGGACGGCGCAGGCGTGCGACTCGCGCCTGTGGCAACAGAATGTTGAGCGTGACCTCACTTTGGACGTGGACGCCATCCCTTCCCCCCCCCTAGTCGATGAGTTCGACTGCCGCTCCATCATAATACGATGGAAGTTGTCAAGTGGCAGTCAAGAGCCACGGGTGTTTTGCTGACGGCAACCAAGACGGATCTCAAACGTGGCTCGGGCCAGTCGAGGGCACGCAGCACCGCAGTCCATGACG